TAGGTATATCTATTAATACTATTAAAGATAATAAAAATAATAAATATAATTTTGCTAATTTTTCTGACTTTTCTGAATTCTCTTTTCTTTTTTTACTTAGTATTTATTTCTTTTTCTAGAAGCTTCTCTAGTTTATTTATATAATTTCTTATTTCCGATTTCTTTTTAATTCTTATTTCCGATTCTAGTTTACTATTTTATTTAGATTTAAGGGTATTTCCTTTTTTGGGTATTTTTTTCGGACTTAGGAATAAGCTTTTCTACTAAGATTAAAGCTACTTTAATTCCGGCTTTTACTATAACTAAAAATAATATATAAATTAATAATATAACTTTATTTCCGAGTACTAAAGTCTAATTCTAACTAAAGTCTAACTTATACTATCTTAGTATAATATTTCTTATTCTATTTCCTTTACTTCTTTTCCTTCTATAATTAGCCTCTATTTTTACTACCCCTATATACTATACTAGTAACTATATCTTGCGGCTAACTTATATTCAAATTACTAGGTATATTAGAAATTAATATAAGATACTAAAATTAATACTTATATATCCTTAATATTTCGGCTTTAGGCTTAAGATATTATAATAGCCCTTTTCTCTCCTAACTTACTAAGCTAATAATCCGCCTTATAAATACCCTTTAGAACTTTATAAGAGTATTACCTTAACTATAAAGTTTCTATCCTCCCTATATTACTTACTATAAAATATATAAGAGGGAAACTATAATAAGATAAAAACCTATATAAAGTATACCAGAGTGCAAAACGTGACTTAATAGCAAAATAATAAATTAAAAGTATAAATAGTAAAGTATAAATAATATATAGTATATAAAAGCTTAATTAATTAAATACTTATAAAGAATTATTCTCTAAGTCTATAGAAAAACCAGCTTTCTTATGTGATTTCCGCAAGTCACGTGCAAAAGGCTGTGGCCTTTACTATATAACCTAAACCTCAAAACCGCTAAAATAATATAATTTTCGACGAGTATAACCTGCCATACTATAATAGCTTACTTATATAACTAGAAATAAGTACTTGAGTTTATTATATAGAATTATCTAGATATAGAAATTTCTATTATAAACTTTTTATTTAAATTAATTAGTTAAATCTATTTTTAATACTAAGTTTTTATTAAGGTAATTTCCTATTTCTAGAGGCTTTAGATAAAGTAGTTAATAAGTTTCTTAGCTATTAGCCAAGACTTATTAGCTAGAAAATCTATAAGTAATAAATAAGATTATAAAATAGAACTTTTCTAATTATAATATTAAGACATTTTACTATAATATAAAGTAATTAGATATAAAAGCTTTATTAAATATAATATATTTCGAATTATAAGTTTATAAGATAGGTATAAGAAGTTTTAGTATTTAACTAGTATTATAATCTAGCCCAAAAATATCTATTATTTTTTATATCTAATTTAATAGAAATAAAAAGTACTTATATTTTAACTTAAAGAATAATTAGGACTTTTATATAGATTTAGAATAGCGGTTTGCTTTATAGAAAGAAAATAGACTAGAAATATTTATATTATATTAATTTTTAGGAGAAGTTATAGTAAATATTATAATTTCTGAAATATTCTTAAAGAAGCTTTCTCGAACTAAAATAAACTAGTTTATAATCCCGAAAAATCTATAAAAATCTTATATATCCGAGAATATAAGTACTTAAGGTAAATACTATTTAAGTTCTAATCTATAATAAAAGAAAAGTAAAATATATAAAATAAAATATATAAAATAAAATATATAAAATAAAATATATAAAATAAAATACATAAAATATATAAAATAAAATATATAAAATAAGAGTAAAATAAAATATTCGGATATTTAATAAATAGAAAGCCTAATTATAGGTTATAAGAACTCGTATTAACTAGATATATATATAGTAATATTAAAAGAAAAATAAGATAAAAGAAGCTAAAAAATAAATTAATATATATTTTATAAAAGTAAATAAAGAAATATCTAAATAGCCTAAAGGCAAGAAATATATATTAAAGAAGTTAAGATTAGAGAAAAAAAGGCTATTTTCTATAAGAATAAATTAGTATATATTTTAAAATAAAGAATAGAGATATTTAGTAATAGTTTAAAGGCTTTTATAAGTATTAAAGAAAGAGAGAAGGTATTAAAGTTTAAAGAGATCTAAATAGAAATTAGTTTCTTTTTTAGAAGTTCGAAAGAAAATATTTCTAAAGAACCCAAAAATATAAGAGGTATTAGAAAAGAAAAGAAAGTATTAAAGTTTAGAGAAAGCTAAATAGAAATTAGCCTCTTTTTTAGAAGTTTAAGAGAGGGTATTTCTAAACAGCCCGAAAATATAAGAGATATTAGAAAAGAGGAAAAAGAGATATTAGAAAAGAGAAAAAGAGATCTAAAATTTAGCTTTCTAAGAAATAAGTAAGTTAAAGACTTATAATATAGGAGTTCTAGATAAAAGTAACCCGGAAGTAATAGTTAGATACTAGCTTTAGTATTATTAGTAAAAGTATTAAAGGAAAAGGAATTCGGAAAAGGAATTCGGAGAAGAAATTTAGAAAAAGAGAGAAAGATTATAAAGTAGTTAGATACTAGCTCTTAATATTAATAATAGAAGTATTAAAAAAAGAGGGATTTAAAGAAAAGATTCGGAAAAAGAGTTTAGAGAAGAAATTTAGAGAAAGAGAGAAAGGTTATAAGATAATTAGATACTAGCTTTTAGTATTAATAGAAATATTAATAAAGGTATTAATAAAGGTATTAATAAAGAAAGTATTAGTAAAAAATAAAAGCTTTTAGTATTAATAGTAAAATCGAAAAAATATAAAAGAAAAATAAAAGTTTTAGAATAAAAATAGAATAAAATTATAATTTTATAGAAAATAAAGTTACTAGTATAAAGTAGTTATATTATTATATAATTCTATATTTACTTTTACTATTTATTAAGAATATATTTTTTTTTTTAGGAAAAAGTATTATTTAGAATTTTTAAGCCTCTTTAATTTAATAATTATATATTTGAAAAATAAGAAATAAATATAATTATATATACTAGAATAAGGGAATTTTTCTTATCCAAAAATTATAATTATAGTATTACTAAATATAGAAATATAGAAGTTTATATAATAAATTATATATAGAGATTTAAGGAAATTTAAATTACCTCGAATTATTTATAATTAATAAAGTAAATTAGCTAACTATACGAGTTAAGTATAGTTTAATTATTATTAGTATATTTTGGCTTTTATAAATAAAAAAAAAGAATATTTATATCTTTATTTTTATAACTATAATACCTAAAATTATAATTTTTTTAATATTTAAATATATTTAATCTAAGGCTATTAAGTACTAATATTAAAGCTTTCTTTTATTAAAAATATATTAAATATAACTTTAGGTAATAGCTTTAATAAAGGCAAAAATAGTTAAAAAAAATAAAGCTATAAATAAGTAAAAAGATAATATTTATAATATATTCTCTAATAATCTAGACTTAGTCTATAATATTCTCTCTTATTAATATATTTAACTAATAAATCTTTTTATTTCTTGACTTCCTCCTTATATATAATCTCTTTTTCCTTCTTCCGTAATAATACTTTAATTTCCTTATATTACCTAATAATATTACTAAAATAATAAAGTAAATTAATAATAAGACTAAAGTTAGAGAGATAAAGCTATACTAAGGCAGAGAGCTAAAGTAATTAGAGAAAGGCAAGGCAAATCTAGAAGCAAGCTTAATATATACTTACGGAACCGAATTCTCTTAAGCTTATATTACTTATAGTAATAAGAAAAAACTAAAGAACTCTTTTAAATACTATATAATTATAAAAGGCGAATTTAATAGTATTTATATAAATTATAGATATAATAATAATAGTAAAATTTATACTTTCTATTAAGTCTGGAAAGCCTTACTTTATATCTATAAAACCCTTTATACTAAAGCCTTAATTGCCTATAAGATATAGAAAGCGAGTATAAAAATAGATATAAGATCAGAAGATAATAGGGAAGGAGATTATGGTAGAGGAGAGTAAGGATACTAGAGGAGAAGGAAATAAAGGAGATATAGATAATTCGAATAATATAGGTAATACGGAGGATATAGAGAGTAAGGGAGATGGAGATATGCCTTGTAATCCATAGGATTTGCCTTACAGACTACGCAAGCTAAGGGGGGGCTAGGAGTAGTCGAGAATAAGGCGTATATGCTGTACTTCTTTTTTTAGTGAGGTATGGGGGGGGGGGGGGGGTGCGAAAATCAAAAAAATCAGAAAATCACTTTTCGCTTCTCGGTTTTGTCGACTAGCCCGCTAATGGCCTCAGTAGACTGAGGAATTTCTGGTTATTCCATCAGGATCCGATTGCAACAATTCCAAAATCTCGTTTGGAGATTTACGTGCTGGGGCTACCAATGGTGTTAACCTATTCGGAACACACCTCAGTTCTTGCAATGGCCCGAATCACTTCTCTAAGCAACTATCGGGTAGAAGGATTATATTAAGCAACGGTGACCCTATGGAGACGCAGTTAGATGTATGGGCCCAACCCGCTTACCTCAGTAAATTTGAGGCTTCCCATTCGATAAGATTTCATCCAAACTTATGGCGTCCGGATGGACAGATATTCGTTCTCGGCCTTAGAGTAGCCGCCTGGACTGGCTATCCGACGATAATTGACGACCCTCTATTTTCTGCTCATGATTCCGCGCGAAATGCTGTTTTGGATATTATAGGGAACTGCAGCTATGAAGGCGGCTATCTTGGGATCGACTGTAATACGGGCGAGTCAACGGATAACAGCAGAGCTTTTGCCAAAATCTTCCTCCAAGCTTTCAATAATCTTCAATTAGAAGTGGGGAATGGCCAAATTGATGTATTCACAGCAACAATCCCCGACCAAGAATATACCGCCATCGGGTGCGTCGAGCAACATCAATTTTGTGTCCAGCAATCCCCAATGATTTGTACAACTTGGGGCCGACAAGAAGATATCGTTGGGGATTTGACCCAAATCTTACAGGATGTGGGATACCAAGATGCTCTACCGGACTTCGAGGTGCTCCAGCGACAATTAGTGCTCAATGGTACTGTGACCGAGTATCTGCGCAACATGGGTGGAGTCACGGCTCTCATGGCTTGGAACGGCAACAGGCTTACTGGCATTGATCCCAATGAACAATGGATCATAGAGCTTAAAGCCTGGATGGAAGCCTCTCTTTTGCAAGCAAGATACATGATGTCAAGTATTCTGCTCAAGCCGCAAGCTCCTTCAGACGCGCTCCAATACACCCAGACATCTAAGTATTGTAGTCGTATCATGTTCCTCGACGGGAACTACACCAATTTCGACTTCATACAGCTTTTGATCATAGTATGCTGTTTCGTGTTACTCTGCGCTTTAAGTTTCGAATCGGGACTTTTAGCCGCCGCGAGGCAACTGTGCACATTTTGCGGTAATGTTATCGGCGGTGCAGCAGTTGCTTTAGGAGAAATGAGACAACCGGTCTTGAAGCATCTCCAGGCAGCCCGCTGGTCAGCTTCAAGGCCACTCTGGCCATGGCGTCGAGGTGAGTTGTCTGATCTCTCTCAGAGATACCCAAGAAATCCATTTCAGGACCCTCTGTACAGGCCTCGATCGGAGGAATATGGCTTGGGCGAAGTCAGCGCTACTCCAGCAGCTTCGAGGTAAATTGGAGATAACGGACTGCGAGTTTCATGCCTGAAAGGATGAGACAAAGAATGCGGTGCAGGAGAAGAAGAAGTAGTAGTTGAATATCTGATTTATACTGGATTATAATAACTCGGTCGGAACTTTTTCTTTTCTCTCAACGCCACCGATACAAACGAGGGCGACATTACTATATCGCGACTAGTGTGGGCGTGGCCTTGGTCCTTAGATAAATCTTTTTTTTTTTCAGCCAAAACCGGCCAATGTTGTGCCCACAAGTTTTCGGGCGACTGTCATATGTCAGTTAACCCGGACCTCGAAGCCGAGCCTCAGAAACCGTTACAGGGAAATCGCTTTAAGCAGCATTAAAGCATTCTTCAATAGTGAGAGAACTGCCCTCTAAGTCGCAAGGGTGAAACTTGTGCTTCGAAATAAAGTCCTGGAAGACTGTGGGCATTGGAAATGCTTTAGTCTCCCGGATTCCTGGCGTTTCCCGTTTTGGTGGTATATATAGTTAAGGAGAAAGCTGCAGATATGATTTTCGAAGAAAGCCGTTAGCTATTATCGGTCGTGCAATCTTTTCTTGGATTACAGAGCCTCAGCAAGGCCGACAAGAAAAACTCTGGGATTAACGTAGTTTCATTATGGGTAAGAGATTGGAACTTTTAATAGCATGCGCTACCCTCTTAAGAGTGAGGTAAGTTATGTATTATATAATAATGCTACACTCACAGCTCTTAAATATAATCTTACTTTAAATAACGGATGGGTAAGCACTGAGAGAGACCTGGCCTCCTGTACTGCGGTAGGCGAAACTATACCAATATGCAGAAAAAATGTGAAGGACTAAAACGACCCCCCACCCCCCTCCGGGTATCGATTAGGGGTGTCGATTGGGGCAAGGATATTTAATTGGCTATCTGAGCTCTTTAAAAATCTGAAATTAGATTTTTCAATATAAGTCTAAGCTAGTATATTGTCACGATAGGGTGATGTTGCAGTGGTGGTAAAGAGCTTGAATTGAGCTGAAGGCTGTGTGCCGGGCTAAAAGCACTGGCTATACGCTAAGTCACGTGCAGTGGCACCACGTGACTGGTGCCACGTAACATATATTATAACCCTTATATTATAATTACATACTTTCTAACTTATAATAGAAAGATTTCTTAAAATAGTATTTTAATTTTAGGGAGTTTATATACTAATTAATTAATTTTTAGTTTTTGAGCCCTATAAGGCCTTATAAATTATGGGCTTATAGGGCTCTTAAATTTGGTTTTAGGGACTTTTTTGCTAAATTTCTAGGCTATAAAATATAAAAATTTTAACTTCTTTAATTTAAAGAACTATTACTAATCCAAAAAAAATTTAAAAAAAAGTTTATATTTAAATAGCCCTTAATTAGCGCTATAAGGAAATAAAACAAGTATTAAATTATATTACGTCATTATAAAATTAAATTAAAATAAAGAAAAAGCCGGAGTTTTGGTATTCCTGTCCGAGCGCCTAGCCTGCTCCCAAGCGACACCCCTAATCGACACCGGGGGGGTCGTTTTAGTCTTTCCCAGAACAATCGCCAAAACCGCGTTTCTAAGCGAGGCTTACCACCCCCTCTAAATTGCGTCTCCCAACCACTTTATTATACCTTAAGATTGTAATTACTTAATAACCACTCTTCCAAACGCTTCCAAACTTTATTGAAATTGTGGGGATAATACCTGCTGTCGGTCGAAAAACTTGCTCGAAAAAGCGGTTAGTAAATCCTCTACTAATAATGCGCCCAAACCTCGAATTTCCTTACTTGCGGCATTTAACAAACGGCAATTATTTCTAAAGGTCTCGAATTGCGGTATATGATATAGAAAGATAAAGGGGGCATCTCGTATACCTACTTCGCTTTCTGCTGCCTATATCCTAAAGCAGAGAACTTATAGAAAGATATTTATTCAAATTAATAATACCTCTATTTAAATTACCTTTTCTTTAATAGCCTTACTAATAATAACTCCTTCGAAAAAAGCCAAAAAAAAAAAACAGCCTATTCTCCCTCCGTTTAATCCGACAAATTACTTTAATAAAGAGCTATATTGTATTTAGATTTCAATTATACCGAATATAGAGGGTAAAAGGAAAGACAAAGAGCAAATTATACTAGATGTAAATATTAATAATTCAATTCGGAATAACTTTTAGTGTTCTCGCTAAAAATCGATTTAAAGCTAGTTTCGCCTACCGGTGTATAGCAAAAGAGTACGTTTTTGCTCTGGGACAGCTCTCCATTTCTGGTCATAGTCAACATCCCAGCCATGGCTTTGCCGGTATATACCGGGTCCAACAGAATGCCCTCTGTTGCAGTGACCTCTTTCATAGAGTTTACGGTCAGAGGGTCCCCCTTGCGTAAGCAGGGCCTGTGAACCGATCGTCAACCACGAAATTGGACTCGTTAATATCCGAAGCACTAAGACCAAGATGGCCAGCGGTTATCCTCATAAACCTCAAGACGGCCTGGACAAGATCAAGCTTCGGTACCGTGTACGCCTCAATGCCAATCAAACCCCTTTTTCTGCTCTGACGTAACCTACTCCCCTCGCTCATCATTTCGAGCAGCTTGAAGCCGGCCACCATACCCCCGAGGGTACTGTAGAACCAGACGCGGCGGCAACGATGACAGTGTCGAAGAAGACATTTTGCTGCAGTTCCTGCTCCCTCACCTCGAACGCCGCAACTTCAGGAGTCGATGTACTCAGTCGCTCAAGCCTTTCGATCTCGGAGGGATTCTTGAAAAGTAATTTGCAGCGCAAAATGTCGCTGAAGGGAGCCGGGAGATTGACCATTGTAATAGAGTCACCTCAGTCACACCCATTTCTCATCAGAGCGGAGGCAGTTATCATTAGTCGCGGCCAAAGGAAAATAGTGACCAGACTTGATGCGGCCGAGACAGGATACCAAGTACTGAAATGGCTTCAGTGAAGTCTGGAAGACAAAGGGTTATTTTATACGAATGATTCAGTTGCCACCCCACCCTTGAATTTTAGACGTTTTCTAGTTTGATGAAATCCATACGGTCTAGTCTGTTCTCCACTACAGACTGTAAACTAGCAAACTACCGGCCACCCTGATTCAAATCATTCCTATGTTATAATCCAAAGAGGTGCAGATTTGCTCCAGCCTGGTGATAGTCAGCAGATACACTCGAATGCAAGAAGCATACTTCTACGTTAATGCATTACCAACAAGATGTTTGATAATCAGTAGTATTGAGAAAGGGATCCAATCCGGGTTAGCCGCAGGAACTTTAACCGTGCAGCTGATTTGGGCAAGTCGGTTGCTCAGATATGGCAAGGAATGCACGCATGCCTCCCACAGCAAACCGTATTGTGATACCGGCCTCCCGGCTGCAGCATATAGGTCAGCTGGTCAATTGCTTTTGGTAGTAGGGGAAGAATTCTCACAGAGGAAGAAGAATTCGGTAGATCCATGGCCCAACCCCATTTTCTTCATCATAGTACCTGAGATCACACGATTGACCCAAAGCGCGCCACGCCTCAACCGATACAAATTTGTCGATCCAGAGTTTGACATGCAGATTCGCATTAGGCTATCGATAGTATCGATTGGAAGGCCATGTTGCTCCAGCACAACACACAAGGATACGAAGATCAGTTCGCGGAAGATGTGCACCTGTACAACGAGGCCAGAACTTCTCTGGGAGGCTTTGGAGTCCAAGGCATATTGCCGAGCCGATATTACCAAAGCGTCGATTGCATTGATACAGTTTCTTGGTGCAGATGATGGAAACTCGTCTCGTGCAAGATGGACAGGGAGGTCTTTCTTCAAGCCTAGAATGGCTGTCAGAGCATAGTTGTTCTGCTTGACTGAGTCAAGTCCAATAGCTTCCCGTTTCTCCGTCCAGCTGTTGGGTTTGTCCCACCCTTTGGTTATTTGATCAGCGATTTGCTTCCAGCAGGGATTGCCCTCAACTTTTTTGGTAGATGGTTGCGCAGTTGTAAGTGATACGCATGTGCATGGGGCTACGGTCGGAGATGACATATCTGGGGAGGCTCGGCTTTCATCGTTGATAACAAAGTCAAGCGGAAGATATGGCGAGTTCGCACCTGCTAGGGGAGGTCTGGCTACCCATGTATCGCAGTGTTCATGGTGGTATTGGAGATACGAGACATTGGCCTCGAGAACGTCGATATAACTAATCAATTCCTGGATTTGAGCAGGTTGGGTTTGCCATGGAATGTGGGTCCGTCCTGGAGTCGTCATCGTTGCCTTATTGTAACACCGTAAGGGTCTGCATGAGCTATTTAGCTTTTTCCCAAGAAGACAAATTGGTTATGAACCTGGCTCCCCGTGCATAAGCACTAGAATCGACCAAAAATTAGAAACATGAGGAGGCAACCTGTAGGGTTCCTTTCTTGAGCTTCGACAACTTGCCCCTTGTTGACATCCGACCTATCTGCATAAGTTAAAATTAGAATCAGATATTCTGACCGATGCTTAAAGGTATTGAACCTGGCCATATTTGGAATCTTCCTTGCTCAGGAATTGCTACTAGTCACATGGGTCTAGCTAGATTGGCCAAGCATCCCTCCACGTGATAAGGTCGCTGTGTGACCCACCCGACATCCCAGACCACACATATGTGGTAAAACCTAAGCGGACGTCCCACCATCAAGCGCAGTAACCTACTCCCGCGATCTACCCCTTTAAAAGCAGCCACTTACCAACTAGGATAACAATAATCATCTGAAAGGGAGAATGGTATATCCTGGTGATTGGCAATGACCTCCTTCCTGATATGCTTATACAACACCCCTTCAGTGTGAAGGTTAAGGAACATACGTCTCTGAAACTATAATGCCTTCTCGGTCTTTATTTGCAAACATTCACGGCATTGGGTCTCAGTAGGCATTTGGCAGTTCTGACCCAGGGTCCTTGCTGACGGACGACCTGGCTCTGAGACGAAAGATCTCAGTTTGCCATTCTTACAAGTAATTGCTCACGATGGCACATGTTCTCGGTCCTTGCATGAAAGAATTGGTAGCGAGCATTCACTCTCAAGTCAACACAATTACCAAGTTCCCTGACTCGCATTCCTCCCTCATCCTTCCTTCAGATCCGATGCACCTGGTGCGCTTCCAGAAGAGGGACAAGTGCAAGCGGCGCGCATAGCATTGATCAAGGCAGCAAGCGACCTCATCTTACTTGCGCAAGGTCCTGGTGAATTTATCAAAAATGAAGCGTTCGTTGTACATGCCGCACATACCACATTCTCTATGAATGCTAACGCTGTGACCAGGAAAAGTACGGCGTCTCCGTCCTCGGTATCCTTAACCATTACGATGTCTGGAATGCTGTTCCCGTTGACGGTGCGATCTCTTCGGACAACCTGTCTAAGAAAATGGCCTTCCCCGCAATTGCATTCACCGCGTCCTCCGGCACGCGATGACCCAGCGCACCTTCTGCGAGCCTGCCCACGGCTGCGCCGCGCACACAGCCAACAGCGCCGCAGTTGTCAAGGATAGCTCGTTATCAGCTTGTATAGGGCACAATATTGACGAAGTTGGACGGGCTTTAAGCTGGCAGGTCAAAGCGTTAGACATATGGGGTGACACGGAAGATCCGAACAGGTCGGCTCTTTGTCTTGCGACCGAATTGGCAGAGGGGGGTACAATCTTCAAATTTCTGCAGAATGATGGTGAGGGTGTGGAGAAAGGGTGGAGAGCGAAACAATCCTGTCTGGCGATGACCGCGATGACCACGATGAGTAAAACAACCGCATTCTCGCACGCATCTGCGCACCGGATTCGATTGGGCCTCTCTGGGCGAAGCCACGCTGGTCGATGTGTGCATTTCCTACAATTTCTGAGTGCCAACATGCGGACTGTAAAACTAACCAATTTGCAGATAGGGGGTTCCGCAGGCCACAACGATATCGAACTCGCACTGCACTATCCCAGCATCAAATTCATCATCCAAGACCGCGTCGAGGTTGTCGCCTCCTTCGAAGGTTCCTTGCACTCCGATCTCAACAGTCGCATCAGCTTCCAAATGTACGACTTCATGACCCTACAACCCATCAAAGGTGCCGACGTATACTTCCTGAAGCACATCTTACATGGATGGCCGGACCTCGTGTCAGTCAAGATTCTGCAAAATATAGTTCCAGCCATGACAACGTTCGAGGATAATGAGGGTAGTAGACTGCTGATTATGGAGAGCGTAATGCCAGAGATGGGCGAGGTGCCGTTGGCTGTGATGCAGTTGTGATACTGCGATGGATTTGCAGATGACGGCTGCGTTGAGTGCGAAGGAGCTCACAAGAGCTGATTTGGAGGCACTATTAAGAACCCCAGATCAGAAGCTTCGTATTGTCAATGTCAGACAGCCTACAGGCTGTGCGGATGCAGTTATCGAGGTTGTCTTGGATCCGCACCTATAAAGTAACAGAGCATATCGAACAAATGGACACGTGTGAGGTCGTTATTGTTCTTTGGAAGCCTACAAATAGAAAATAGCCACCGACGAGACAAGAGCCGCTTCACAACCTAACGGTGGAGAAAATTTCCGAGAGAAATATGACGAATTCTTGAGACATTATTCAGTTCTTGCATATTTGTCTTTGCATCCTCAGTCCCGCAATGATGTAGCCTCTAAGTCCCTAGTGTGAAGGTTCGAGTGAGAAAGAACGTAGGGATAGGTAGGCCAGGCCACTGTTCAGATATTTTTTTCGCGTCACAGAAAGATGTGATCCAAAGAAAATTTGGTTGTCGTCATGTATCCGCAGGTGCCTGAGAAGGGGCAATCCGACCAACCTACCCAGCACATATTCTTAACAGCAGAATACTTACGAGGCTGTGTAGGGGGTTTGGATGCAGACTTTACAGCTAGCTGTATTAGGTTAGAATGTTATCAGACGCTCTATTATACGCGTGACTTGGGAAAGTCACGGGGCTTCTCGAAACACGTGGTATGCTCACATACTCGCGCTCTCCTCCTCACTCCTTTACTTTGCCTCTCTGCCTGGCCCCCTCCTCCCACCCCCTATACCATTTACCCTGCCTCGTACTCTAATATTTAAATCCAAGGCCTAAAGGCATTATGTTTCTATTTTATTAAAAAATTATATTAAGATATATTAAAACTTATTTATTTACTTAAATAAATATCCTTTTATTTTATCTTCTACTTTAAGTTTTTAGAAAAAGACTTCTTTTCTCATATTTCATTTTCAGAAATAAAAAAATAACTTTAATTAAATTTAAAATAAAAAACTAATAAATAAAAAGTAATTAAAATATAAATTTTTAATAAAATTCTTTATATAATATTTAATATAAATATTAAAATATACTTATAATAATTAATATAATAGCTAGCTTATATTATATATAATAAGTTATTATTTTAGTTATTATTTTTCTTTCTTTCTTTCTTTTTCTTTAGCTTTATATTTTATAAAATAAATTTTAAAAAATTTGCCTTATTATATTACTTTAACTTTATTATTATAATAAGAAAATATCTTTAAATTATTTAATTATATATAAAAAAGCATTAAAGCTAATTAATCTTTATTTTAAATTCTTATAATAATATATAGAATTCCTTTTTAGTTTAATTTTAATTATATAATAAAAAAGTATTATTGTCACGAGACCGGGTCTCTGAGCTTGGAAAGCAAGGTAGAGTGGCTCTATTCCGAGGATTCTAAACTAAGGAGAGAAGCTCTTGAGTGCGGGAGCTTTAGTGTTCTAAATACTAGCCCCAGCCGCATGCGTCATTGCAATCACGTGACGCTAAATTTACTAGTGAAGCGGCAGAGCGTAACAATTATTATAAATAAATTAAAAATATTATTTTAGAATAAATATAGTTTATATTTAATTAGTTTTAAAATAATCTTTATTTATTATATAAAAGACCTTATAATTAAACCCAGAATTAAATATATAAGTTATAAATTTTAAAATTATAAATTAAATAAAATAAATTTTAGTAAGAGTATGCGGCATTGCTCGTTGTATACCTAAGCGAACACGTGACTACCCCTTACTAAAACCCACACTTCACCGCTTCTTTTGCTACAAACTACTATTTTTCTTCTTTAATTATTATATAATAATGGAAAACTCAGACTCAGACCCAGAAATCTCAAATATCCCCTCTCTATCCGTTCTTAAGGGTTACTAACTCAATGAGAACTAGAGAACTTCCGTTTATACTATTATTTGTTTACTTTACTAGTAAAAGAAAAGCTATAGCCAAATTAGAGAGGTTATAAGCCTTACTAGAGAGAGATAATTTGGGTTATATATTAGCCGGATAAGAAGTATTATTCAGATTATATATAATCTTTATATAGGAATAGTAAAGTAAGTATAATAATTTGGCAAGTAATTAGCTAAAATTAAAAGTTCTTACTTATTTTCTTAATAAAAAAACCAGGGAAAAGGAGAGTTTATAATATAGCTTACTTAAACTAAGTTCTTAATTCTATTATTTTTTCTTGATTTAATTTCCTAATAATAAAGTAAAAGAAGATATTTTTATTTATAAATAATAAAGTAAAGATTTATAAGAATATAATAAAACTACCTCGAAAATTATATAAATTATATGAATTTAATTAGTTTCTCTCTTTTCCTAATTTAAATCTAATTAAAAAGGTCTGGTAATAAATAAAAAATAAAATTATAAAGTTGAAAACTATTTCTATTTTAATTAAGAATATAAAAGAGGTCTTATAAAAGCTATAAATTAAAGTTAATCTAATAAAATAGTAATATTTGACGGAGAGGCTTACTTGTAAGCTAAAAGATGTGATTAATAGCAAGGGTATAGCTACTATATAATAAAGCCTTAATAAATCTAGTACTTTAATTGTTTTGGGAATTACATTGAAGTATGGGCTGAAAAATTGCGATTTTGGTGGGGTTGGTAGGGTAAATCACGTGTTCTACGAGCAATGCCGCATGCTCTTACCTTTCACTCAAAAATTAAACTAGAAAAGCAGTTTTATATATAGCTATATAGCTTTAAAAGGACTAGCTCTACTTTTAAGGGGCTCGACTAGAGCAATAAATTTGACTATAGTTATAATATTATCTTTTCGCTTGTTTGAGTAGCGCTGCTGCGGCCCCAACATCCCTGGTAGTTACCACATGTGTGTGGCCCTAACCACATTGTGTGGTACGCCATTAGCCGAAAGATCTTCATTGCAACCAAGGATTTAGGATACATTCGTAACGGGTGCGAATCTCACTGATGTGCCTAGGCAAGGTATATATAGGTTGCTTACACTTTATAGACATCTTTACTTCAAGTCTCCCAACCAAATCCTCTCTGCCAAATCTCTTGCAACTCTTTGACAATGGCAATTACTGGTCACTGCCTCTGTAAGGCTGTTACTTACAGCATTGACGTTGATAAACCCAACGCCGTTGCCTATGACCACTGCGATGACTGCCAACGCTACACTGGTTCCACCTACGGTACGTTCCCGCCCTGATATTATCCTTCATCTCTTCTTACTCCCGTCCTAGCCCTCTTCGCCATTTTCCCTAAGGACAAGGTCACGATTGTGGGGCCTACCAAGAGCTTCGCCATCAAGGGAGGTTCAGGCCTAAAGGTCTACCGCACGTCCTGTCCTACATGTGGTTCTGGGGTCGCCCAGTCCCCTGATGCGGCTCCAGATATTATCGCCATGAATGGTGGCGGTTTGGACCGCGAATTCAAGAAGAAACTTGAGCCAGTAAGTATATTGACATCACCGGGCCCAATGCTAGAGGCTAAATCATGGACAATTAGGACACCGAGTTCTGGACGGCCACGAAGCTTCCTTTCTGTCATGAGAATCTGGCTCACGCCTTTGAGCGCATGCCCCCTCCGCAATAAGCGACGTCCAACGAGCTGTACAGGTAACGCGGTGGAACGAATTTAGTATAGACATGTTCAAATAACTAAGGGTGGCAGCTTTTGCGGCTGGCCTTAGGACTATGGAAACGGTTCTCCGTAGGACATTCTACTTTTCTAGCGCATATGAATATAAATATAGCCAAGAACGTAGGGCAGGATTCCCCGTACACTTTGGAGGTTGTGATTTCTTCATGTTCAAAGTGACTAAGAATGCGCTGCTTGAATGTCGCCGCCTGGTCAATTTGGGAGTTCCCTGCTGTGACCCCAATGTAACCGGTACAGGATATTTCTTGAAAACATATCGAATTGTATTCTCTTAATACGCAATATTAGAAGACTTGAAGATTATTAGTAAACTTGCTTATAATTCTTTAATTATTTTCGAGAATATTTATAAGCTTAATTTTAAAATAAAAAAATATAATATTAATATTACTTTAGTAATTAAAAACTAAATAAAACTAATTTTTATTTCTATAATACTTATAAAAAATTTCTATAAAATAATAAGCATTAATGTTATAAAATTTAGGCTCTAAATTAAATTAAATATATTTTAAAAATATATAAAAAAAAATACATATTATAATAATATTTCTTAAAATTAAAAATTATTATAATTTCACGTTTTATAACTATTATATACTTCAATATATAATGTATTATATTATATTAGGCTGAGCTAGTTGGCGTATTTACTTATTATTTATAAACTTATATATTGCTTTTTATATTTTAGTATTTTTAAATAAAAGCTATTTTAATTTACTTTTTAAGCTAAAAGCTAAATCTTATAATAAAAATACTTTTAAAGGCAATTATAGCTTAAATAATTAATAATATTATAATCTTATTCATATAGGTCTTATAATTATTTTATTTTAAAGAATTAATTAGATTTATTTAAAATAATATAATTAATTTATAATTATTATTTTAATAATACTTTTTTTATTAGATTTAGAAATATATTTAATTTTAAAAAGTTTATATTAATAAGGGATTTTTAAAGCTTTAAGTCTTATATATTAAAGCTAAAATTTATTTTAAGAAATTTTACTTTTTATAATTTTATTATTATTAAAAATATTTATAAATTCTTTTTTTAAAAGATATAAAATTCAAGAAAAGAAAGTTACTTATTTAATAATAATAATCTTGTTTTAAAATTAAAATTATAAAAGAAAAATGTGATGTGTATAGGGTCGCACGTGACTCAAAGGCATGTAACGAACCTCTAATATTACAGGTATTAATCAGGGAGGTTAACGGCCCTTTAATACTATAATTATACTACTATTTATATTATAGGCTTTAGGCTTATTAATTACTAAATATATATACGTCATTGGGAGCTCCTATTTAGAGAGGGCTCCCCTGGACCTTATAAAAGGAACAGAGATTAGTTCTGTACCGAATTTGATACTGTGGTTTCACAACTCACTGATTCATTCTATTGTCTTATTGCCTACTAACAAACACCTTACAAAAAATCTAAAAACTTATTTAAAATTAATTTATATTAATTAATTTTATTTCCAAGCTAAGCCAAAAAAAAATATTAAAGAATATTTATAAACTTTATTTTATAATTATATAATAAATTATTACTTATTTATAATTATAGCTGAAAAATTATAATATATATAAAAGAGTAACCGTTTTTGCTATATTTGATTCGAACTAATTATATCCCGCTCTTTTCTTTTCTCTTCTTTGGAAATCAACTAACCTTTACTCTCTTTATGCTTCGCATATACTATATGTCTGTAATCTCACGCTGTACAGAGATCGCGGCATAAAGTGACGGGATTATAGGGCATTTCGATGCCGAGCCCACTGTAGAGTTCATTTCAGGTGTTGCGCACGCTGTAAGGCCCTATATCTCCAGGCTATGTGCCCTAGAAACACACTGTGAGACATTTGCAAGGTTACGAAGATCTTCAAGGGTATTTAGCGCTGCTGGAAGAGCAACTCTCGCTTCGACACTAAAGCGACAACTCTTAATCCCGTCACTTTATGCCGCGATCTCTGTAAGGCCCTCATATTGCACCTCGTCTGACATCTCTATTGCAATATTAACTTATATTATAAAAGAAATCAATTTACGGAGGTCGCGGCCAGAAGTCTTGCAACTGGCAGGGATGAGTGCCAAGCCTCAGGACGCCACATGCAGCTGACCTAGCAACGAAGATTAAGGGCTCGATAGCTTGTAAGAATACTAGGTTTAGCGATGCTTATAGGGCCTGTGCGCTATATTTTGGCCACGGAACGCCTGCAAGGCCCTGTATTTACAGCGCTTCCTGGTTGCCGTGCAACGGCCCTGCCACATAAGCGAGAAGTGGCACCGACCCTGGTAATAGTCGGACTTGATATCGCGCTAAAGGGGCCTTTCCCTTTAGTCGGGGAAAGCGAGTTGTCCCGGGAAAGCGAGATGTCCCGCATCGAATAAAATCCTCACTAACTTAAAATCTTAGCCTTTTTAAATAATTCTAAGTAATAGAATTAAAAATATAAGCCTTATAAACTAGATATAATTCTCTAAATCTTAAAAAAAAAAGATGTGGGTAGAGAGCTATTAAGGTCTTAATAATAAAATTGCGAGGAATATAAAAATCATAAGAATTATTTATTCGCGACTATTTCACGAGTATTAGACTTATGACTTTTGCTTAATTATAAAAATTTTTATTCTTTTACTTAAAATTTTAATCCTTAAATATATAATAAGTAATTATAAGATCGCGAATAAAACATATTAATTAGATTTTCTATAGCTAGTTCCTAATATTATTATTTTAGAAGGCAAAAAGGGCCAAAACGGGACATCTCGCTTTCCCGGGACAACTCGCTTTCCCCGACTAAAGGGAAGGGCCTCTTTAGCACGACGTCAAGTCCGACTATTAGTTGCAAGACTTATGGCCGCGACCTCCGTACTCGCGAGACAAACTAATATTTATAATTACCCCATGACTCAGCAGGACCTTAGCTTGGTGGCGCTGCAGCCTTGACCCGTTTCGTGCGTGGCTGTTGCTAGTGACCCCAAGTAACGCTTGTCTGACGTCATAGTACGCCATCTAAAAACCGTGTTTATGAAGCAAATCTACGAATCCGTACAAGACGATATTTCTAGCAACAAACTTTCTGGCGCAAATATGCCCCCCTTGTCATCATTCCCGACACGAAACAACATGCAATAACATAACCTTGAAAACCACAATGTCTGGCATCTCAAGCTTCATAGATGGAACAATCAACGGTGCTGCAGGATTAGCGCAGGGTAGAGAAGGCACGACAATTACAACCTTCGTCATCTCCTTGGCAGCTGGTTTTATCCTCTTCGCCGTTCAGTTTGGTACCTTCGTTGTCATTAGGAATTACTTATGGGCCAAACGAATTTATCAACCAAGATCTTTCTTGGTACCTGTCAAGCAAAGGATCGAATCACCCTACAACAATCCGTTCAAATGGCTGTTCACCGTTTTCAAGATCAAAGAAGATCCCGTAGTTCTAGGAAAGGCCGGCATGGATGCATACTTCTTTCTCAGGTTTCTCAGTATGTGCCTAAAAATCTTCACTCCGATGGCCATCATTATCATGCCCATCTTGATACCCCTGAACGTCAAGCAGGGAAAGGGGACCAACACTATCAGCGGCGTGACATACAATATAACGGGATTGGATACTTTGGCTTGGTCGAATGCTTCACCAGCAAAGACCAGCAGGTATTGGGCGCATCTAGTCATGGCAGTCGGGGTCGTGGTCTGGGTTTGCCTGATGTTCCACCAAGAATTGAGCCACTACATCGCCAAGCGAGAAGATTTTCTAAACAGCCTGGGTCACAGATTGAAAGCATCAAGCACAACTGTTCTCATCCAGGACATTCCAGAAAAGCTCTGCAATGAGGAAGCGCTGGAGGAGCTATATGGCGACTTTCCGGGTGGCATCCGCCGAATTTGGATCAATCGAGATTTCACCACCCTTGTGAACAAGGACAAGCTTCGGAAGTTCTACGAAAACCTGCTGGAAAATACCGAAACCAATCTACTCCGGAAAGTGGCCAGACAAAGCCACAAGGCAAGATTGCGCCAGAGAGGAGAATCGACGCAAGAAGCTCCAGAACAAATAACCCCGGAGGTCCGATCTAAAGTAGGCCAAACTTTATTTCCCGCACGTCCAGAAATGGGCCCCGCAACTCCAGCAGCTTGTGTACGCGATCTGGAATATGATCTCGAAACCAAAGCTGCGTGGGCAAACTTCCTAACGCCAAAGCAACGGCAAACTATGAGGATACCAAAGGACCGACATGCAGCCGCAGCCAGAATTCCCCTCATTGGCCGTTTATTTTCTACTAAAGTTGACACAATCTACTACTGCCGTAGAGAACTTGCTCGACTGAATAAGGAAATCGAAATGGATACCAAAACTCCAGACGCATATCCAAAAAACCTATCGGCATTTGTCCAATTCAATTCTCAAAAGGCAGCACACCTCACTTGTCAGTCCGTTGCCGACACCTCACCTAGGCACATGAGGAGGAGAATGGTAGAGATCTCACCTGGGGACATCAACTGGCCCAGCCTAAATCTGTCCTGGCGCGCTCGCTACGTCCGTCTCGTCGTCTTCCTTGTCCTTTTTACCATTCTGCTATTTGTGTTTGGTCTTATCTCATTCTTCACCGGCATACTGTCTAGAATCTCCACCCTATCTGGGTCAACATCTTGGCTCAAATGGATCGACAGTCTCCCTCCGTGGTTGATTTCCTTCATCCAAGGTACCCTCCCACCTGTCATCCAAGTGATTCTTCTTAGCGGACCACTTCCGATCCTCCTTCGCCTCCTGACGAACAGGGCCAGAGGTGCAACGACTGGCCAGGAAGGAGAGCGCTCACTTCAGTTGTTGTACTTCATTTTTCTCATTGTCGAACTTTTTATCATACCCACCATCTCCTCCGGTCTTACCAGTATTGTTGAAGAACTTATTCGCACTCCAACATCGGTACCAAATATCCTTGCAACGAATCTACCCACGGCCGCCAACTACTACTTCTCATTCTTAATCTTGCAGGCCCTGTCCTTAAGTGCAACCTCCATTTTGCAAACCATTCGATTATTCAAATTCTATGTCATTGGCCATGTCAATACGCCTGACTCAGTGTTCGAAAAACTGAGCTGGACAAATTTAACGCGCACTGGTAGTAACATTCCATGGTATACTACCTTTGCGGTCATCGGTATGTAGTGCATCAGCTACGATTGCCACTGTTGCCCTAACCTCAGATTAGGACTTGTCTATTCTACCATCGCTCCACTTATATTACTATTTATGCTTATCACATTTAGCCTCTTTTGGGTTGTGATCAAGAATAATTTACTTTATTGCGTACGAACAGGCACTGTTGACGGAGGTGGATTATTTTTTCCGAGCGCCATCAATCAGCTATTCACCGGCGTCTACTTCATGGAAGTCTGTCTCATTGGTCTCTTTTTCTTGGTTCGTGACACTCAGGGTCACGTCGCATGTGCTGCGCAAGGCATCATCATGGCCGTGGTTCTTGTCCTCACGATCTTGTATCAAATATGGCTAATGCATCATCTCGATCCTTTGTTCAAGTATGCCCCTGTTCGATTGGAGGTCGAGTCCAAGGCTTTATTAGCAGACTACCAAGGGGAACGCGAAACGGGGAGCAATTTGACCAACCATGAAACCTCGGAAACTGTCAATTCTGAACCCCGAGATGAGGCGAAAGATCGTTTGGATCTATCTGGTAACATTGCGTCTCACGCCCAGAATATCGAGAAGGCTCATGCGCCAAAATTGAGCACTCAATATAGACCGCCCTTTTGGGAGAGACAGTCATCACATCGATCCCAAGATTTACAAGCTCAACAGCGTGAAGATGCTAAATCCGCCGAGGGCATACTTGCCCGTCTCAATCGGCCACTCGACGAGGCCCGACTGGCACATCTCGAAAAGAAATTGGCCAAGACCGAAGCAGTTCGCGGCAGTGCTCTACTGCCACGACGCAAAGACATAGAAGCGCAGATGCTCGACGATCCGATTTCCAAAATCATCATGCAGCACAACGATGAGCTGGAGAACCTAGATCCGGAGGAGCGCGACATGTTGATTTCGGTGGCATTTATGCATCCTGTATTACGAGAGACAAGGCCGAGCGTTTGGATCCCTACAGATGAATTAGGGGTCAGTGACGATGAGGTTAGGAGGACAAGAGAGCTGAGTGAGGATGTGGTGATTGATAACAGAGGGGCGTACTTCGATCGGAGATTGAAGGTGCAGGTTGACAAGCCGCCACCAGATATGTCAGAGTTTTAGTTGCGGGTATGGGGTTTCACTAGTTTTTTTTTGGGTCCCCGTCACGTGTGACTCGAGTGGATGAATAATAAACTCCGCAGAGGGTCACCCAGAAGCATTTCCGTTGGGGCCGGTATTTGGACCTTTAAAAACTCTTCCCTCCTTCGCTTTGAGTAAAATAAAAAGCCCAGGCCCATGAAGATGCCCGGAAAAGTCTCGCTACCAAGTGAAGTTTCTCCTATAACTGTGTGAACTATGCGCGTGCGTACGTTTATGAGTGGCTAAAGGTAGACAGTAGCCGAAGAAGAACGCTTACTTCTATAACAAACCACAAAGAATAATTCTCCTTACCGTGGGGTAAAGTGGATATGAATTAAAGAGCCTCAATCCCTCTAGTACCCTGCTATTTAACATAGAATAGTACGGCGCTAGAGACATATATATCCTGACTTAATTAGTATTGAGTCAATTAATAAATTAAGGACGAATTATTGACTAAAAGGTCGATTTATTGATTAATTCTGACATCTCATTGGCCAATCTCGATATTGGTGAGCAATCTACACCAAACCGCATAATGTGCAGTTTGTGAAGCCAGAGGTGGTGGTTGAGGGGTGTAGTGAGTTTTGGAGGTCGTGGATGTGTGAAACAGGAACACAAAAGAGCTCAGAATATCAACCTTGATTTCCTCACCCTTGTGGTTTTGATAGAGGCTCAGAGGAGAAACCGTATTATTCGCTCAATCCACTCCTGTCGGACTAACCGAATACACCGTTCCTGAGGACCGGCGCTATTTATTCCTCTTGAGTTAAAACTGCGATACAGACTCTCTCCCAGCCGTCCGGCAGGTTCGGATACGTTGGTTATATAGTTTATAGGTGGGGAGACTCTGTCTATCAGCGATCACCCAGGCTCGGCAAAAAATACCTGAGGCATCGATACCGGTATTAATAGTAGAGGTATTTTTCAGGTATCGCAAGGAATCAATAGTATTAATACCAGAATCGATTCTTACCCCAAAAATTAACTCTTTCTTTTATTATTTAAATTATGTAATAATATATTATTATATAATTTCATTAATTTCTAGTCTTTCTATTAAAAGAAATACTTACTATTATTAATAAAAGTTAATAATATCTTAAATTTAAAATAACTCTTATATTTGAAGAATTAAGCCCTATATTTGTATTTCTTATTATTTAGCCTGGGGAGATATATATGAAAGAGATAATCTAAATCAAGAAAGTCTTATTAATAGCCCCAGACTAGCCTAGTATAACTACCTTTTAGACCTTTAGGCCATTTGCCTCGGGAGAAAGCCCGAAAACTCTCTTTCTAAATCTCGATCCGGTTATTACTTCTCTAGGATAAGCAGTATATCAAATGAATAGAGTAGAATAGAATAACGGCCGTTACTCTTATTTTATTCAAGCGAAAACCCGTTACTCTTATTTTATTCATATATTATTCAAGTTATTCATGAATAATCATGAATAATTTGAATGACGCACGTGATCTATGCACGTGATTGAGCTAGCCTAATCGGGTAGGGCTTCCCGGGGGCCCGCACCTAGCGCTACCTAGCGCCACCTAGCGCCACCTCGCTACCCAATCAGGTAGTAGTGGCGCTTGGTAAGCGGATCGAACCTTAGCGATAATCAGTTTATATATTATAGAAAATCTATATTTAAGTAGCCTTATATAAGTATTAGCTTAGCTTATATAAGGCTAGTTAATAAATACCTTAGTTTCTTTTTTTAAATTTAAATATATGTCAATTTACTATAATTAATTGACTTTCACGTGACTTTCACGTGGTTATTCGTGGTTATTCATGGTTATTCATGTTATTCATGAATAATTATTCTATTTTACTCAAATTATTTAAGATATCCGTTACTCTTATTTTATTCAAGTTATTCATGAATTATTCATGAATAACTCGAATAACTTGAATAATCCTTTGATATACTGAGGATAAGTTAGTTTAATATTTAGAGACAGATTCCGGCTATAGATACTAATACTTAAAGAAAGAGAAACAAAAACTATTCTACTAAAGTTTTCTTATTATTTATAAATAATTCTTATATAATCTCTAAGCCTTAATATACCTTAATAGCCTAAATTTCTTAATAATATAAATAAACCCAAGTATAAAAATGCCTATTAAATATATTTCTAATATCTTCTTAATCCCGATTAGAGATATGTATTATTAGTATATAAAGGATCGGATTCCCTTTATTAGTAAGCGGAATAAAATACTAGTTAATTAGAGACGGGCGGGCAAATCTTGTATATTAATATTAAATAATAGAGGAGATACGAGTCTCGAGTTAAGGAGAGAAGTTAATTCGAGTCAGAGTAATAGTAATAATAAAAAGAAGATTTGCTATTATTAGATTAGGGAACTTAATTCTAGTCCTATACTTCTCTAAAGAGATAGATAATCGGTAGACTGACTATTACAGGTTACCAGACCGTACTACGAGGAGGTATTGAGTTATTATAGTCTATTTATATTTCTTATTAAAATACTAAATATATAAGCAAGCCTTACGAAAATCTCAAAAGCTTATTTTTACTTAAAATAGCCGTATTGAGATATGTTTTAGTCTAAAATATAAGATAAGTAGCTAAATAGAAAGCTCAAATCAAGTAAAATATTTGCGCTACCAAAAGTTTTCTTATAAGGGAAGTGGTTCTAAAGTTAATTATGATTAAAGGAGGGAATTGGGTTCGGGGAATTAATACTAGTATTAATACTATTACTACCTTACGATTCTGGCATTGATATCTATTAATACCGGAAATTAAGGAATTTTTGCCGAGCCTGCGATCACGTTGGGGTTAATCGGAATTTGGCTGTGGATGGGCGGAAAATTCTTGGCTGCGTCGTTCCCATAAACGTGAGTTCGAGTGTTGAAGCAAACCGCGGTAAAACTTGCATGACTGTGGCTTGCTAGAAAGCTACCAAATGTCTGCGGAAGTGCCGGCCGGTTTGAGAATGAAACACCATTGGTTCTGGCTCTTCCCCTACTGTGTATTACCCCCCAACATCTACATATAAAGACGAGCATATTTCAGCCACTCAATATACAGGCGCGTCTCATACAGCGTGTCAAAGGAATACTCAAACTACTTAAGTTACTTAAGTATATACCCATTGAATATTGAATAGAGTATAAGTAGCCCCTTTATAACTAAGCTTGAGTAGAATAGAAGAAACTACTTAAGTAGTTTGACTACTTATTACATGATTTATTCTATTAAATATCTCTCTTAATATTATAAATACTATTTAATTCTTCTCTTTATTATCTTTCTTTACCTTTATTACCTTTTTTATTACTTAAAAAACCCCTAATACTACTTATTATACTTGTGACGGCGCCGGCTGGGGGCCATATGGGGGTGGCCGTCACATGACTGGTTTCACCTAGCTAGCCGGCGTTTCAGTAATTTTAGCTAGTATTTCCCTTCTTTTATCCCCTTTCCTTCTCTCTCTCTCCTTCTTCTCTTTAGCTTAGGATTTTCAATACATGAGATTCTTGGATCTTTGAGCCCTGGCCATTGCCTCGATCCCGCCGTTACAATACTAGTAAAATTAATATAATAATTATATATTATTATATATATATAACTTCTAAATAATAATTCAAAGAGAAAAGAAATATATAGGGCTTATTTTGACTTTTATTTATTCTTAGATATAATATAGCCTTTTAAAGTAAGTTTAAAGCTAATAATTAAATCAGGAAACTCCCCTACTATAATACGTGTTTACACTTGACTCACTACTTAAGTTACTTAAGTATATACTCGATGAGTATTGAGTAGAGTATAAGTAGGACATATTTTGGCTGAGTAGAGTATGAGTAGAACCCACTACTCTATCCTACTCTACTTGTTTAATACACTGGTTTTATAGCTGGCTTCGGGAGTGAGAATGAAAAGTAGCTCAAGTCCGCCTATTAAATCTTGGACGGCAAATCCTCTTTTAATGCAATATGCAAGCTTTGACTTGGTGCCCTAAGGACTTTGTCAAGTTATGTGGTGGCTTGCTTTGCATAGTAAGTATTGCAGTACAAACTATATTGCAAAAGTAGCGGAACCTTATTACCCCGCTTTTGCTCGAACTGACAAGCACCTCATTAGTTGAACTCCTGCTAATTGAGCATTTCAAGTGCTGACAAAACACTCGGTAGCAAGGCACATAAGCCTGTCTTGAGTTCAGGCCTGGCAAAATCTATAATATCGCATATCGATTTGGATCAGTCCTAGTATTAACAGGTCTCAATCCGAAGCGAGCTTTCCCCTTATATCGCCTACAAGTATCCCTTCGTCCGGTGAGATATCGCCATATTAGCGGCCGCACATGAATATCTCTAATTCGGCCAGAATATAGTCCGAATTAGGGATATTCATGTGCGGCCACTAATATAGCAATGTCTTACCGGACAAAGGGATAAGGAATTCTAGGGCTTCTGTGACGGCTGGTGTCACATGGTTAATACGGACGTGGTTTCAGCCAAAGGGGTTGGTTTCAGCTAAGGTTCCAAGCTATGGTTCAAACCAAGCTCGCTTCCAAAGCTCGGCGTTTCAGTGGTCTTGGCCATACCTACTTATCCACTGCCACACCTCACTCCTATTCCTCCTTAGCTTTAAATTCTCAAGACATAGGAAATCATTGATCTTTGAGCCTTGTTCCATTGCTCTGTTCCTGCCGTCACAGCTTCTAGTTTATCTTAAACTTTAATCGCGAATAAGTTTATGATTATCTCTTAAATATTAAAAAAAAAATTCTACTGCGTAATTACTCTACTTAATTTTGCCTTTCTAATAATATAGCCCGCGAGAGATTTAGACTTATATTTGTCTCAATGTAGCGTTTTAAAGTAAGAAGGGCAAGAGAGTTTTTTGTGAGGCTCGCTTAATTCCTTACAAGAGCTAGCGGCAGCACTCGTGGCACCCTTAAGCGAGGACCCCTTTTCGCGTCCCCTACCACCAACGCGATTCTTACCACCAACGCGATTCTTACCACCAACGCGATTCTTACCACATCACGTCAAAAACCCTCTAGAATTAAGATAGAGGACTCGATACTCTCCTCCCCTGTTCTGCGGGAGCATAGGCCCGGAGAGATGTGGCCAGCCCCTGTCGGATCAACTGTGAGATCGATGAAACGAGACGGCAAAGGCTATAAAGCAATCTTCAAGAAAACCGGCGTCCCCAAGTCAATAGTAAGACGTATCAGCAAGTCAGAGTCCTCCAGAACCACGCGCAAGGGCAATGTCATTAAGCCTAAACTCCTCAAGCCAGCCGATATCCAGCGCATCTACCGCTTCGTATCCGAATCGTGGACAAATCGATGCAAGCCATGGGGACGCGTTAAGGCAAAACTCAGTCTCAAAGCCTCCATTACTACTATTCGCAAGAGTATAAAAGACACGAATACCGCCGCTGAGTTGCGTGTTGTCGACCCTTTATTTCAGAGAAGCAAGCTAAGAGGAGACTGGCCTTTGTAATAAAGTATCGTTAGTGGGGAACGCGTGACTAGAAGCACGTGGCTTGGAGTGACGAGGCTGCATTTGAGACTGGCAAGAGAGGACGAGTCTGGGTTACGGGTAGGCCTAACGAAAAGAACTGTCCAGATTATATATAATCTGTATATAGGAGTGGGAGGGTGAGCGGAATGGTTTGGGCCGCGATGGGGTGGGATTGGAAGTCAGAATTAGTCCTCCTTGAGAGGCTAGAGGGCAAGAAGGAAATCTGTAGTACTACCTATACTAATTAGGTTCTGGAAGCAGTTATTGGGCCTCAATATGCCTCTTTAAGCCCTGAGAAGCAAGAGAAGTTTATCTTTATGGAGAACGGAGTAAAGGTTCACTAGGGGGCTGCGAGGCTGTAGCGACTAAATCACGGGATCAAGGGGTTTGACTGGCTTCCTTCTTCCCCTGATCTAAACCTTATTAAGAAGATCTGGCGATGGATAAAGAACGAGATTACAAAGCTCGACTTTGTCCCAAGAACAAGGAAGATATAAAGGTGGTCTTGAGAGAGCAATAGTTAGAGGTAAACCCTGAAGATTAGCGATATTTGACAGAGCGGCTCACGTGCAAGCTTAAAGACGTAATTAAGAGCAAAGGAATGGCAACTATACACTAAAGAGACTCTGTATATACTTAATTAATTATATAAGTAGCTGCAAATCAATTAAATACGTAGTTATTGAGAAATTAAGAAGTATATATAAGGGATGCTATGAGTAATGGCGCTAGCTCTTACCTCTCATATAAATTAACTATATAAGATACTTAGCCCAGACCTCGCTCGGGATCGATAATGGATTGATACGATCGATACCTGTTGATACTAACTAATACGAATTAATACGATCCAGGATCGAGCCTAGGATCGAGCCTTGGATCGATACCTCAGGTATCGTTGCCAAGCCTGCTCGATCTCACGACAAGTACAGGAGCGCAGATCGGCATGCCTTCCCTTGGACACTGCTGCACCAACACCATCCAGTCCAGTCCCCTCCCGGCATCACTGGCTTTCCAAACTCTTTGAAAGGTAAACTCCTTCGTTCGGAGACTAGTCACTGTCCCTCACTGCATACATAGCATGCCAAAGCTGGATCGCTATGCTTCGATCCTCGTCGTCAAGTAACTCGGTCGCAGCGATAAATACCGGGCAAGGTGATGTTTTCAGTTCTGCGTTACCACTAACGGGCATGAGAACATCGTGAGCCGGCCTGATGGCCAGATCTCCTGCCGCACCGGAGCTCCCTGGTGGATGGATTAGTCAGTGGAGACAGAGCAGGGCTGCAGCGTGGAAGGAGCATGCGTGGAGAGGAAGATCTTGGAGGATTGGAGGGAGAAATGTGGGTTTGACATTGAGCGCCATCTTTGATTCTGTTGTAAAATGTGCTGCACGTTACTCGATGCGGTTGTCTGAGGCAAAGTAAGCCAGAGTACTGTCAGAGGAGTCTGTGGTAGCTGGCGGGGAAGTGAGCGATTCCTGGAGAAGCCCTCTTGCTATACAACCACTCTCATTTCGAGCTCTCCTTAAAACTCCGAATTCAAAGTTTCTAGACAAAGGAAATATGGAAGATGCAGACCTTCAAGATATCGTCCACCTCGAACGGGTTGCTCGCCGACCTCTCTGCAGTAAAATCGTGTCAGGGAGTCGCAGGTCAGGTGTACTCCATCCACCCATAAACAAACGCTTTTTGGAAAGTTCAATATCCACCCCCGATATACAAATGCTTTCGTCTCCTTACGGAGGACCCAGTGGACAACCTTTTGCTTGTCGCTATCAGGACATAAGCAATCGACGAGCCTTGACAAAACTTTAGCCTTTGGATCATGTACGACGATGGAGAGCGGAATTCAGGGCTAGAATAAAGCCTTTGCTGGTATTAAACAGACTCACTAAAGATATCAAGAACCTTGCGGTGATGCTATGAAAGAAACAAGGTGCCAATGATAAGTAACCATCTAGTCATTGCGGAGTCGGGAGCCGATGATGGAATTGACCATACAATCATTGAGCAGCAGGACCCGCAGCGAGCTCGTGCCATCTGGTCCTATGAAGCTGGTCCAGTGGTCCCAACGAGGTTTCATTCTCCAAATACGAGCTCATGGAAGATGTTAGCAGGTCAGGAAACACAACAGAGCCACTTGCATAGCTCTTTCAAATTACTTCATCCTGTACTGAGACTCTTGAGTCTCGATTCAGTAATAGATTTACTGCAATTTTCTTCTGAAAGGAGAAAACATGAAAGTTTGGATATTATTCAGACCAAATTACGGACCATGTTTCCAGCTTCAATTAACCCCAAGCTCAGCTTGGCAGCTGAATTGTTGCTTGACTGGTTTTGGGAGGGCCAAGAAGTTAAGAGAAGCGAAGATCGTCTATATTTGACTCATGAAGCGAGCCGTGCCGTGTCGCATTGCTTGGAGGTGCTAACCGAAAGAAAGTGTTTCCAAGGGACTTTAAGGTGAAATCGGAATCGATTGCAAATATCGTATATACTAGCGATTTAAGTTAACGACAACTTATAATGCTCGAAGTCACAAAGCCTTCAAGGCACAGGTGCACTTGAAATTAGGGAGTTAGAGGTTCGGTTGACCGCTGAAACTTAAGTTCTCCCCCCCCAAAAGAGGGGACGTGCTGTATCGCCAGAGCTTCCTTGAATGGCACTACAAATTGACAATCAGAGTGGCTTTCAATAGTACGCGTATGTGGCAATTAGCCCACCCTAGAGGCAGCGGATGTCAAGATTATCCAAAGTATGTGTGTGGCACGGTCCCAACTATGCAGATGCCGGGAGACCATAACTTGCCTAGAAGCTGTCAGGATCCGTAGGCTATGGATCATTAGTGAGATGCAAAGACTGATGATCCCGGCCTCTGAGCCGCTCGCTCTGACGGCAGGCTCGCGGCTTGGGGAACCCAAGCGCCACGCCCCGCCGAGTACAAAGTCTCGATTACCCTGTTCACAGGGATTCTAATGTCTGAATTACTGTGTATACCGTAGCAGCTCACCCTTCAAGTCGAAACCAACAGGTCTCGCTTATTCTCGCGAAGAGGGGATCTGTCCTATTAATCGCTGCGATTTCTCGCGAAGCGATCGTTGTCGTGTGCAACTACTCTGGTGATCACCCGAATCCAATTTCCGGAACCCTCTAGTGGCTTATTTTTACCCCACCAAGCCTTACACACCCAATGAAAAGCCTGCGCTTCTTACGTCTCTACTTCAAGGGGATAGTTTACTGCGGTACGCACGTAAAGTAAAGGAAGCCTATCATTACAGCGTTCGATAGCCTATCTCACAGCACTTCAAGCCCGTGCTAAAGCGTACTTGATCCGTCCAGTACTCAATACTCGAGGCTCTACTATTTGCAAGCAACTCATCTCCTAGGCCTCTCGATTAGAGCAATTGCTGACTTCCTAGATAGTTAAGCAGTTACTTCTGAAGAAAATTTACTTCCAGCCCGAGCAACTTTGCTGCTAGAGCATACCCACTGCTAGAACACGCCACTGCCAGTGAGTCCAGAATTACTACCAGGCCGAACAAAGTACATGAATTTGATAGGGACTCGCAGCAAAATCAATGTATCTTAATAGCGGGGAGGCCCACACCTCGTATTTAATTAAGACATCACTAACCCTGCAAGCAGGGTAATTGAGACATGTTCCCCGCCACGCAACGGCGAAACTGACTCAATTTCCACAGAGAAGCGCCGATACCTCGTCATCATGATTTTCTGGGGAGCTTATCTGGGCGGCGATCGCGGGAGAATTAGTACTTGATAGGCGGAACTTAGCTTCTTGGCGATTGCTCTGCAAGTGTGATGCCCCCTAAATGCCCCCCTAAACTATCAATTCCTCCTAGGAAGCACGTGCTCCCGCCTCTGCACATCAAAATTTCATTGTCTCTCACTCAAGTCCAACCACTAGATCATCTCTAGATGCAGGCAAGAAAAAAAGCAAAAAGCCATCTGAAACAGCGGGGATCAAAGAGAGGATCATACTAGTTGTAGCCCCTATGAAATTGTCTCATTGTCTAGTGGAAGCTGCCACGAGAGCAACATTCTTGTTGATTGTTAAATATATATATATATCTATCATGCCTTGCTGGCTTGGATTGTTTTCCCCCAGTCCGATTTCTCCATTACTTTCCTCTTTGTCGCCTATCCTCAGACATGGAACTTTTTTCTATCTTCTTTGGTTTCTTTGGGGGACTATTTGTGCTCACATTGACAAAGGTTGTGGGGCAGACTCGGAGCATATGGAAACGAACACAAAGTTTGACAAACATTTACCTTTATATGATCTGGACAGAAACGATAGTGAATCTGATATTCTCTATTACGACATATTTATACCTATGTGGAGTCATCCACTTGAGGTGAGTTTGATCTATGTCTCATTGAATTGGGCGTTGATCAGATCTTTTAGTCTTGTGTATTTGATTGCTACTGGTGAGTCATAATACTCACGCCTTTGGAAGAGGCACACTGAACTGCTATTCGGAACTGACAACCCCCAGTGCTGTTATGGTCCATTCAGACCCAACTTCTTTCGCAAATTATCGCCAATCGTGTTTCATTGATCATGGTCAACAAGCGCAAATCCCGGTTACTCAAATGGGGCCTCTTTATCCTCATTGGTATGGTCAACATCTCCGTCTTTTGCATTTGGATTATGGCCCACATGCCATCAGCTAGCCCAAGGATGATCGCCTTCAACAACATCTGGGAACGGCTTGAGAAGAGCTTTTTTCTTGTCATTGATAGTGGACTTAACTTGTACTTTCTGTACCTGGTGCGGTACCGGCTTATTGCAGATGGGCTCGTGAAGTACTGGCGTCTCTTCTATTTCAATGCGGCAATTCTTCTCGTTTCCCTATCCATGGATACTCTGCTTCTTGGGATGCTGAGCCTACCGAACCCATATGAGTAAGTATTCACCTAGACTTCCTCCAATATTCCTCCCGAATTTGTGGCCGGACGACTGACTTGATAACTTCAGCTACGTCCAATTTGCTCCCGTTGCCTACATTGTCAAGTTACATATCGAGCTCACTATGGCGGTCCTCATCTCCAAAGTCGTGCGCGGCAGTAGTTCTGAGAGGGTTGACAACGGATATTCTAGTGGCCACCACACGTCCCATCGCACGAATGTCAATCAAAGCACCAACCCCTACAAATTGGAGACGAATATATCTGGAGGAAGGGGTGGTGCCCCTGGAGATGAGAATAAAGGGGCAGGCATCGTGAAGACAGTGACGACAGTGGTGAAAAGGGACAGTGATGAGGAGATTTGCGAGGGATACCAAATGAGCACGAAAAGCCTCACAGAGGACTTCCCGTCTTATAATTCCTCTGTCTCGTCCCCACCGTAAGTCTGCATACCCGGCCAGAGCATGCAGGCGAGGTTATTAATAGTTTATGTTGGAAACTTGCATATGGAAATGAACGAGTATCGCAGATGATACTCGCCGCATCGGTTATTTGGATGGGAATTCTCAATTTTTGTATTGCCAAACATGAATGATTTGGGCCGCAGCAGAAATGGTGTTACCCGCGGAGCAGTTGTTAGGGTCAAGGCTATTTACATTCAGTTCAAACGGAAAGAATCCAAGTTCCGTTCAATAGAACCAGTACACACGAAAACGTGCAGCCCAAGACCTCACCCCGAAGGACTTGCCAGATCAGCAGGCATAGTTGCTTCGTTTGATCGGTGAATGTTATCGTGCGAAGGATTGGCTATTGCATGGTTGTCCATTTTTGGCAGACGATATCCTCGCGGGTGAGGTAAAAAAACATTTCCAAAATCTGCAGTGTTCAAATAGGGCAAAAATTCCATTGTTTTCACTATGAGGGGGGTTTCTCCCATTCAATACGTTACACAGCTGAAACACCAAGCTCACCTAATACAGTCAAAATACAATCCTATTAATTGATCAAATACTCAATAATTTTACAACGGATGACCGTTTGAAACAAATCGTGTTTGCCTTGTAAAGATGTTGGGGAGTGCTAATTTGTCTCGCTTAAAAGTGCATTAAGGGGAGGGCTGACGGAAGAGCGGAGTGCTACTTGGGTAATGAGTTCCGCTATTTAACTTCAAAACCCTTCCTTAGTCCACACCGTTTGGGATGCATTTGGTAGAAGAAAAATATTAAGGCTCGCTGTTCAAACACATCTCCTCGCTTAATCTCCAAGGTCTCAACCACGGTCTCCGATTCAGGCTGCGCAGTATTTGGTGCAGAAGGTACCTCTTCCAGCATCGGCCGCTGTGCAAGCATTACATGATCTCCAATTATCTTTCTGGGAGGTCTAGATAAATCAGAACTGAGCCTTCCGAATATCAAATCTCCCCTCGAAGTCACCGGCTTCATGCTTTTAGACACTGTATCAATAGCAAACCGCAGCTGCCGACGGAGGAACTTGACTGAGTTGGCATTGACTGGTGGTGATATAATCCGGGGCTGGTATGAGAATTACGAAAGTCCAAATATACAGCCGAAAGAGTCACGAGAAGCTTTCAATATTTTTTATCCAATGACCCACCTGAAGATACTTTGACTGAGTGTAGCACCTAACTCCCCTGATCTGCTGGATCTCGATCCTTACAAGCCAACCGCCAATGAACTTCCGGCCTTAGAGAATCTCGGGCTCGGCCATGCAGAATTTGCCTCTAGTAACAAGGTGTCGAGACTGGAACCGTAGGCGGTCCGCAGCTAGAGGAAACACCTCGAACAGATTGGGCATGTCCTAGTGCCAAATCGCTGATTGTTACACAATGGACTAGAAGAGAACTCGTGCATGGGAGATGTATCTTGGAAATTGTTGCATCTCGGTCTGAGAAGGTATTTCCAAATCCTAATATGGCCAAGGAAGAGTTTGATCCGCGCTTGTCCATTTTCCAAGGTCCGATCTGGTGGTAGAACATGTTATTGCATTTGGATTCAGTTGGCGGTATACCAAGTATTGAATGTTTAGAGAGATACAAAAACATAACTTGTCAATATCCTCTCTCAGAAGGTAGCATGTTGATTCTGAGGAGTCGCTGCTGTCTGCAATTCCCCGTGAGGCAAAAGGCGTACCAATCTCCAGAGGCGCACACTTTTTCTCATGAAGCCCCTCCCTCCTCATTAGTCCCAAAGAAAGGCCCTCCTTTTTGTTCCGCGCATAGTAATGTACAGAAATAGGGAGGTGCAACCAAATATGTTTCTAATCAGGCAACGAAGTCGTCTCGCTTAAGCGAACTCTCAATTTCTGTCACTTGTCGAAAAAGGGGGAGCCCCTTGCGTCATCAGGAATATTTGAAATTGGCAGCGTCTCTTACATCGCCCTCGGACTGTCCCCAAGACTCCATTATTCCCCGTCGAAAGGGAAAGATCAAAGGTCCACGGAATACTCTGTACCAAACTCCGCCACCAATCCTCCTCAACCAGCAATTTCAAGATGTCGACGGCCCACAGCGACGTCTCAGAGTTTTTTCGAACTTGCAGCATTCGGGACCTTCAATGGTTTGCAAATGCCAGTACGGAATATTTTATCAGTCTTAGAGAAAGCAATGTCGATGCATCAGCATTCACGCCCAAGAAGTTCATCATCAATCGGGATGAACGTACGATTCCTTTCCCGGAGGTAGGTTCAGGTAGCCACTTCGTCTTAGATGCTTTCGGTGCATTTATTACCTGCCTTCTCGGCTCCGCTTCATGGGATAACGATGTTGAAGTCGCAAAACAAAGTCGGATTCGCTGCCGAAATACAACACTAATTGCCCTTGACCTGATCTACAATAAACTTGCAGAAGACAAGTTGACGGCAAAATGGGTTCCGATCGCACAGAAGCACCAGTCCGATATTCTCACCAGCCGCAGCCGGACACAGGTGGTGTCAGACCTCATATCGCATGGGACCAGTAAGATTGATATTGCTTCTAACATCAGCTCGACGGTTCATACCAGGCCGCTATTGACCACAAGCGATATAACAAAACCGAAGGAGCCAGTTACTCTTGTCATGCCATGCGCGGGTCGGTCATCGCGATTTCCAGGCCACAAGCCCAAATGGCTCCTCACCCAGCCGAACGGACGGCTCATGCTTGTCGACGCTGTTGGAGGCCTGGATCTCGAAAACGTCACACGTGTTATCGTTGGAGTTCTTCAAGAGCATGTCAGCCTACACTGCGGAGGAGAACCAGAAGCTATTCTCGCCGCCTTCGCAGACGGACCGCCACACCTGCGAAATATCGAAATCGTCCTCGTAGTCATCGAGAAAGAGACAATTGACCAAGTCCAAACCATTGAAAGAATCCTGGAGGCGGCGTCTGTCACTGGACCAATCTTTCTCAAGGATTGCGATAACCAGTTTGCCTGTCCCGTCCAAGCAACGAACGGCGTTGCTACTCTCGAGATCACGAAAGACGTTCTCTCCATCTCTATTCCAGCAGGGAAATCCTACGTCTCGCTCACGCCCTCGGGAGTCATCACCAACATCGTTGAGAAAGTCATCGTCGGCAACACGTTCTGTGTCGGTGGATACTCCTTCGCCTCAGTCGAGACCTTCAAAACACACACTCAGAAGTGCCGCGAGTACCGAGAACTCACCTGTTCAACGAATACCGAATTAGCAGTCTCAGACATTATCTGGCTTCAAATGCTCACGACGTCCGAACCCTTCGTTTCGATGCCGGTCAGCGGATATAAAGATTGGGGTACGCTCTCCGCCTGGCTTGACTACACACGAACTTTCAAAACGCTGTTCTGTGATGTTGATGGGACGTTGATCAAGAACTCGGGGCAGTACTTTGTGCCGAGATGGGGTACGCAGCCGCCCTTGGAGGACAACGTCGCTCATTTGAAGAAGTTACATAAGGGAGGGAGGATCCAGATCATCTTGACCACTACGAGACCCGAAACTTTTAGAGAGTTGACGGAGAAGCAATTGAAGGAGGCTGGAATACCGTATGATAAGTTGGTGTTGGGACTTTGGCATGGGCAGAGGGTTGTGATTAATGATTATGCGAAGACAAATCCATTTCCAAGCGCGGTGGCGGTGAACTTAAAGAGGAACGCTGATGATTTGAGGGAACATTTGGAATACTAAATAGGGGCTATTGTGCTTCGCGCGCTTTTCACCACTCAATGTTTGTATTTTACTTCTCTGTTGGAAACTGATAAAGACTCAACTCAATGACCGATTCATGATTTCTAATGTCATATTTGATGCAACTGACAGCGTCTGGGATGAAGAGTTCTCTCTGAATATTCATCAAGTGCAATGTTAAACTGCATTTTGCTTACACCAAAGAGCTTCACAGTGTCAAAACTACATCTGGAATGTGATTGCTTAAAAACCCTCAACTCTTCGAACCATTTTCTCGCACAATTCCTTCAAACCAACCGAACATTCTCACTTCAAGATGCAATAGACAGACCCACCAACCCGGCAAACCATCCTCCCCAACCAGATACTCCCCTTTCATCCCTCTCCCGCTTCTCCCTCCCCCTCTTCGCATGAGCCTCCCAGGCCATCTTTGACCCCCAATCCTCATACTCCCCAACACTAACCCCGAAAAACAACTGCCCATCACAAACCAACTGCCACAGGACATCCAACACCTTCAAACTTCCCCTTATTCCGCCTTCTTTTCCGTCTGCCCCAATATCAGTGCCTTGAACACTAGCTTTCAACTTCGTCGCCGCAGCGAGGAAGTCTTGCGCTGAAGTGAAGGACCATCCTCCGCAGCAGAATTGAGATGACACGAAGGAGCCGTAGGCAATATTGCTGATTATGTTGTCGTAACTGAAACTTACGTAGGATTTGCGCGTTGCGTCGATGAGGTCGGGTCTTCCGTCCCATTTCGGCGTTTCGCATTGAGCAAGCGGTGACAGAGTATGAGAGGGGACTTTGACGATTGAGCGGTAGGTGAGGTAGTTACCGATGTCAATGCAGTGTGTGAAATCGTTGTCGGCGTCTTTGATGAAGATCGGTCCCGTGGTGGAGAGGCTGATGATGGTTGATGTTACAGTGTCGACTGCGTCGACCGTGGGAGTCTTAGCGTAGTGGAAGTGGATGAGTGAGAGTGTTGAGACGGGAAGGGAAGAGAAGAGGGATTCAAAATATGATTTGGTGCCGCAGTGTTGAAGTATTAGCGATTCGAGGACTGCGATTACGATTGTACTCACGTTTCGGAAGTCGAGGGAGGAGATGCTGTCAACTATGAGGGGACGACCAGATGGCTGAGGGTTGTTAGCAGGTAAGTCGAGAGAAAACTGGCGGGGAATATGATGCTCATACATTGAGAGCGAGCAGTTTAATTTGTCCATCTGCATAGAGCTCTCCCATATCAGGGCCTAAAGCTGGTATAATAACCGTGGTCTTCCTGTCTTTCTCCTCAAAGATGTTTGCTCCTTCATTTGAGGATAAACTTCCAATTAAGGTCAGCTCGTCTTCCTCGATCTTCTCAGAAAGCAAGGCTATATCCTCAGATATCCTCTGCAACCCCGCCATGATACACTGTTTCTCAACCAAAGTAGTCATATACGGCAGAATTCTGGCAAGACAGAAGAACTCAAACAGAGGCACAACATCCCAGAATGCGTATCTGTAATACGCGCTGTATATTCGATCATAGAAGACACCGAGAGTTGTGACAGAGCGAGCAAGTCCCTTGTCTGGGACGTGAATTTGAGTCAAAAACCAGTGGTGACGGCAATCCTGGAGCAGTTTCGCTATGTCTTGTAGGGGCGATTCCTGGTAGTTTGTTAGCTATTGATTTCAAGACAACGGCTGGTTCTTACCAAGAACAAATCCAAGAAATCAAACACACATAGTTCGCGATTGACGGGATCCACGAGCATGTTTTGGAAAGTCAGATCACCGTGACAAGTTCCAACAGGCACTGGAATTTCAGGCTGAGCAGCAAAATGCTCAAGAATCTGATTAAATTGCTCCATTATGAGCTTGATCTCTTCCTCACTCAAAAGTGCTGACTTTGGAAGAGCCTCCTGGATGCTCTTTACCTTGGAGTAAAAGCCTGGTAGGACGTCCTTCAAGGGTGTTGTCGTGCACTGCGTTAACTCGTAATCCACAATCGAGATCGCACTCTCTATCAACCATTCATGAATTGACTTGTCGTGCTCTAACACGATATGGCAGACGTCGTGAAAAGGTATATATTCCATATCCACCACAATATTGCCCACGACCCCTCCTGCTTTGGGTGTCTTGATGCCGTAGATTTCTGGTGTACTGATTGTAGTATTCATGAGATTCTTTCGACATGTCGCTGAAAAGATGATTTGTTTTCTGATCTGCTTCAGAAGGCGCGATCCGTCCTGCTTCCCGCCGGCGAATGCTTGCTTGCGGACTGCCCATTTGTTCGAGGTCAATCTTCTGAGAGTTGCATCATTGACATATTCCCGAGGTGAGTTAGACTGCAAGAATTGTTGTGAAGGGCGGCGAAGGTCTGTAATCGGCTTATATGCAAGTACAGGTCTTCGGAGAGCTTTTTGGACTTGAGCGGTCCGCGATCCAGACAAAGAGTGCAAACTATCACTCATGGGATTCGGTGAAGATGATCGTGCATCATCGAGTACTTGTTGCATATCATTGACATCCAGTGCTACAAAGTATGAGTAGGAAAGCCAGTTTTGCAAGTGGGTTCAGGAGAGTTGGCATACAGGAAGAACGGTCGAACAAAGCATCGACTGGGACTAGAGTTTCGCATTCCAAAACACTAACTATCTTGACTTCACAGTCTGATTTCCCAAGACCTTTTAAAGTAGGAACATGAGCATTTGTCTGCTCATTTGCTACGCTACCCCTTCGGTGATGCGCTCGACGGGTGATCGAGACTGTCCTTCGTCGACGAGGTGATGTATGCGGTTCCATGTTAGATTGTGGAAAATGCGTGAGTAATTACAGTAGAGATTTGGATTGGAAGGCGATATCATAAAGTATTTCTTAGTAGAGCTGAAGCACAGAGAATTGTCTGGAAGGGAGGGATATCGTCTACAAGTGCCCTTTCTTGTGCTGGAAATGGCAGAAGTAAGGGGTATGCGGAATCAGTCCCTGGCGGCGCTTAAGCTCTGGCGAAAGGGGGAAGTAGAAGAAGGGGTTACTTCAGTATCACAACATTGAACCAATTACAGTATCGACACTAACGAGGCGTGATACTTGCAAGCCATTCGGCAAGTATGCCGTTGCCAGGGCTCCAATCAAATTCTAGATGCTGATCCTCTCGAGACAAACACATTCCTATTAATGCGCCACCGAGCCCACTCATGTTGGAAGACTCAGTTTTTCTTCATTCTATTCTTGAGAACGTATTCCCACCTTCAATTGTTCATAGTCCAGCGTGTGGTTCCCCAACAAAGATGCAGGTTCCACAATTCCCAGAATCATGGCAGATTGGCTTGCAGAGTGCAGCGTACTTGTCGGCACTATGTTTAGTCGCCATTGTAAGTTGATCACGGTTTGCTATAATGAACTTTGAATACCAGAGCTGACTGAGAGGAATTGTAGCAAGTCGGTATCGGGATTATCATGAAATCCTCTCAAACAGGGGGGAAATACACATTCTCATCATCCGGTTTGGTCATCATATCCGAATTCCTGAAAATGATTCTCTCTGCATCACTCCTACTCCGACATTGTATGAAACAGTCTCGAAATCGTGCAGAAGAGTCAGGTCCTGGATACGCGCTTTTGATTCCTGTCGCCCCGTCACCGAGGTCAAGTTCGCCCGATGAGTTGATTGGATTGAAAAGCATCGAAGAAGAGGAGGAGAAAGCTTCGCAAGAAACATTGCGAGAGGATGTCGAACTCGGCCACGATATTCCAGTTCTTAAAACGAACCTTTTCGTATCGTGGGTGGCGGCTCTCGGTGAAGTGTCTGTAGAGACGAGATACGGATTTGCCAACTTGGCGTTGCTGTATTGCCTGATCAACAACACTGTATGAATGCCAACCTCCATTTCAACAGGCCGAGCTAATTAATGTGGTTATATAGATCTTCGTTTCGTACAAACTTGCGGATCCTGGGACCATTGCTCTGACGAGATCTGGCGTCATCTTCATCACAGCATTCGTCATGGTTACGGCACTCCGAAGCAAAATCACCACAGTCCAGTGGGTAGCAATCGTGATACAGGTAGGTGTTGATAAAAATCTTTCGATACACCTTTGCTAATAAATCTGTTTTAGCTGTGTGGCCTCATTACCACGCAATACCGTCCAGAAGTGGGTAGCTCATACCCATACTCCACATACATTGTGTTACTGGCCCAAGTTTTCGTCAGCTCAGTTGCTGGAGTATACAACCAGTCTCTGTTAAAGGGTGACTCTGCATCATTGCATGCGCAAAATACGATGCTGTATGCTTTCGGCGTTGTCATCAACGCCATGATCCATACTACCATCCGAATCGTCAAGCCTGAAGAACCAAGTCTGTTTGCTGGATATACTAACCTTCCTTCATACCTTGTCATACTCAGTAACGTCTTTATTGGACTCGCAATTACTGCTGTTTATAAATGTAAGTTTTCTCTTTGTGCCATTATTGGTACACCGTTTCGATTTCTGACCGCACTAGATGCGGATGCCGTGATCAAATGTCTGGCTACAGCGGTTGCAACAGGAATACTTCTCTTCCTTTCCCCCGCAATCTCTGGGACTTCAATGACTCCGCTCGCGGTTCCAGGAGGGTTGATAGTTTTCATCTCATCGTGGCTATACGTCACTTCTCCTGCGGTGGTGAGCCCAGATGAGGAGGTTCCAAAGTCGACTTTTGGAGCAGGAATCTCAAAATACTTCCCGTGCATACCAGCAAGTCGCCTCAAACTTCTTCTACCACAGCACTTGCTAACCGCAGTACCAGTTAATAAAATTCATTATCCTCCCCTTCGCAACAATAACCACAATCCTAATCATCACCCTCCTTGAGACCGTATCTTTTTCAGACCACATTTCCAAACCTACCTCGCCAAACACATCCATCATCCATTCCCCCTTCAACACTACACTGGGCTTCATGAAATGGAACCACCACCTGCCCGACCGCATCCCGTTGATACAGAAATACGAACCTTTCTTCCACACCATACACTACAGCATGCCTCTCCCCGATGAGAAAGACTCGGAACTGCACAATCTGACCCATGACGCGTGGCAGAATCCGCTGGTGAACTATGTGCAGATAGCCAGAACCATGCAGTTTATATTGGATCAGCCGGCAAACTCTTCTGCTAATGAGATTACCGGGTTGTTGTTTCTCCATTTGTAAGTTCCGCCGATATTGAAAATGATTTGATATGGGAGGAGGATGCTGACAAATGATAATAATAGCGATGCTTGGATCGATCCCCTCTCCTTCGCCACCGAAGATTTCTCCAAAATCTGGATAGCATACACGCAAGCTTACGGGGGACCACAATACATCTGCGGCACCTCACGCGCCCAATTCGGCGGCTGGGTCGGACTCAATGCCGACCGGAACTGGCACTACCCCCTCCTTTCCGCACAAGTAGATCTCGCGTCCGCAAACACGAGCTACATCTTCAATAAAGATGAGTGGTGTATTGGCTGGTCCGATATTTATTATATCCCGAGAGAGTACTTTGCGGATTATGTGTATCTGGCTGCGTTTTATGGCGCACAAAATGCGTTTCATGAACTGGTCATTCCGTCGATTATGCGGATTATTGATCAGACGAGAAGAAGAAAAGACTTCAGCAGCATTATTAACTATTTGGGCCACTGTTTTGGCGGGTGCTGCGCGCCGGGTGCTGATATGAATCAACTGATGAGCCATCGATGCGGTCATAAACTTGATTATTTGGGTAATTGGGATGTCATAAATGCGCACTATGAACGGCTGGATAAAGAGGCTGAGAGGTTGGGAACGGAAGTGGAGGAGAGGGAGACGGTAAGATGGGGGAACTTCTCGGCTTTTGGGAAGAGTTTGACAGAGGGGGAGAGGAGGAGGTTGGCGGAGATGGTGGTTAGGCCGCCGCCGAATCATTGGAGGTGGGATCAGATTAATTTTGCGTTTAATGAGACTGGGTTGGAACCGCCTCCTGCTGCAGGGCCAGGTAAGGAAAGAAACGAGGGAGAGGCAAAATCGGAGAGGAGTGTTGATGATGGATCTGAAGGGACAGAGAACTCGAAGGAATGGCTTGCGAGGTACGGTTGATGGACAGCGAGTTGTATGTATGAATACTATTCGACTTTCAGCTTGGTCTCATCTAAGTATGTTAAGCAAGCCGAATCATGATAGATGATGAAGATTGAACAAGGTTCAAATGTAGAAAGTTCTCGAGCCTACTTACTGCCTCATGATATTGTATCAGGTCTGCATAGCTGCTCTGACATGATGTGAGAATGCGCAAGCGCAAGTCGTCTAACGACATGGTGGACGGTCTTTGGGCTTGGCGCGTAGTATACCGCTCGCTGTGAAAGCAGGGAGTAAAATTGTAACGCTGAAGATATACTCCTTGGCACTTTAGTGCGAGTTCAAATTCAGATGGGTTCTCTAATAGTTGTTGACAGAAGCCAGCAAAAGATCTTGGCTCTGACTTATCTCTTCAAAACTTTCCAATAAACGGGGGAAAAAGGACGTGGTATATCATGACCAAAGATCGTCATTGAACCAAAACGCCAGGGGGCAATGCCGCTAAATCGACGCAAGAAATCCAAGACATTAAATCACGAAACTCCAGAACCCATTTTTGTACTCCACGCCTCATCGGCGCCTTCATCCTTCCCAGCAGCCCCAACAATAAACTCCAAAACCTTGCTCATCCGCTCATTAAGAATCCCTGCTCTTCCCATGGTTTCAGTTGGCGTGATGCCTCTAGCTTGTAAACCGGCGCATTTTGCTCTCCAGGCTTTCTCCTCTCTCTGCTTGAGGGCACGATCAACCCTCATCGGCACCGCCAAGGTAACCCTCACAAGATGAATTGTAAGTCTCGCCCTCCCCACAACATCAAAATATCCTAAGCCCATCAACCGTTTCTGCACCCGATGTATCCGCCCCAATTCAATGTATACCAAAAGCGCATATGTCCTCGTCGTTAGTACCAATTCGCGTATTCGGATGAACGAGCGTTCGACATTGATGACTACTTCTTCGCTGACAAGGTGGGGGTACTGTGCGTGTAGTGATTCTAGCCATCGTCGCACGATCACGAAATCTCCGGTCATGAACTCGTGGAGGATGGCTTCGACGGCGCTGCGGAAGGTATGTTCGCCGCCGAGGAAGGTGGTTTTGTCTGGTAATTGGGAAGAGGTGGGTTTAGAAGCTCGGTCATAGGTTCGTCGGGTGCTGGGGGATTTGAGGATATCGAACGCGAAGCCGAGTCTCTGGAAGGCACTGGGAGGTAATTAGTCGCGAGAATCGAGGAGGCGTGGGCGATAGAGGCTGACCTGGTGGACAATGGATGAAAAGGAGGTTTATCTGGGTGGCATATTTTTGATCTTTCGAGATAACATCGTCGCAATTCCGCTGCGGAAGCATTCCTCGCAGCGCCTAAAATTTTATACAGCTATTCGAAATTAGCTTGTGATTGCGCATACGGAGGATTGGGATTGTTCGTACATCTTCTTCTTCCAGAACGTCTGTGGTGTTGTCAGTACTTCTCATCTGATGTCACATGTCAGACGAAACCCACGCACCTTGGATTATGTCATCTTTCTGTTCGATGAAGGAGCCCTCTGTCTGATTCACGTCATCGGACATGGCGATACGATAGAGGCATTAGAAAGGGCAAGTGCTAGGAGAAGAAAGGAACATAGTGAGGGTATAATACAAATATAAGGAGCGTGGGAGGACCCTCGGTGGGAGGTGAAGGGGCGAAAATGCGCCGCTGGTGTTTTCACATGCGACCAATTCCCAGGAAATGCGGCCTTGACACGTGAAAACAGGGGTCCCCCACGCTATTAGTCAGCCTAGGAGACCTTGATCCGAACTGACATCACATTTAGAGATCCTTGTTGATATCGAGAAAGTCAACACATCGAAGACCAAGCTCACCACTTCGGAGCTATCTCACGACACCGAGCATGAAAGTGCGATAACCTCCAGTGCTTTGCCATCATGGCAGAACAACAAGATGGCAGCCCGCGCCGTGGGCGGTCACCGGCCCCGATTGACACGTCCGGCGGCCAGCACATCCATTTCGAGAGCCCAAGCATAACTGGCAGGTCATCCATTGGGAACGACTCGACGACGACATCTGCCATGACCTCGCCTTTGAGTATGGACTGCAAGAATGTGGAAACAGAAGACCAAAGCCTGCCGAAATTCCCACCTCTCCACCACAATCCTCCGAGTTCAGAGGGATCGAGACGTCCTCCTTCCACTGGAAACGATATGGACGACGATGAGTGTACGGCGCGGCCGTTCCAAAGGACGAGGAGTCCTAATTCGGATATGAAGAGGAACAAGGGTGCGGAATATGAGAAAGTTGGTGATCAGGGCGTGTGCAAGATGCACAAGTTTTCATTGTACGAGACGGCAGTCAGATATTATATCGTTGGAGCAGATGTCATGGACAAGAAATTTCGGATCCTGAAGATTGATCGAGAGGCAGATGCTGGGAACTTGACCATTTCGGAGGACGAAATCGTTTATACCAAGAAGGAGATGAGCCAGTTGCTGAATGCTATTGACGATGGCAACAAGAGTACGGGTGGCATGAAGTTGAGATGCAGTACTTGGGGTCTGCTTGGTTTTATTCGATTCACTGGATCGTATTATATGCTAGTCATCACGAAGAGGAGTCAGGTCGCTATGATTGGAGGACACTTTATTTACTCGGTGGATGGCACAGAGCTCGTTCCGTTGACCACAGGACCCAGCTCGCGGTTCAAGACATCAGATGCAAAAAATGCAGAGGAAGCTAGGTTCCTAGGGATCCTCAACAATCTGGACTTGACCCGGTCTTTCTACTTCAGCTACTCTTACGATATTACACGGACTTTGCAACATAATATCATGACCGAGAGGGCTGCTCTCGCCCAAGGTTGCCCATATCCACATGACCAGAATTACAATTCGATGTTCGTATGGAACAGCTACCTTTTGCAACCTGCTAAGTCTGCCCTGAAGAATACATTTGACTGGTGCTTGCCGGTCATCCACGGATATATTGATCAAGCGGCTCTCTCAATTTATGGACGCACCGTATACCTGACGATCATTGCCAGACGGTCCAGATACTTCGCAGGTGCTCGTTTCTTGAAGCGTGGTGCGAATGATCTAGGTTACGTTGCAAATGATGTCGAAACTGAGCAGATTGTCTCAGAAGTACTCACAACCTCTTTCCATGCCCCAGGCCCGAAACTGTTCGCAAACCCGAATTATACATCATACGTCCAGCACCGAGGCAGTATTCCTCTGTATTGGACCCAGGATAACACTGGCGTTACCCCTAAGCCACCGATCGAGTTGAATCTGGTCGACCCATTTTATGGAGCTGCTGCTCTGCACTTCGATAACTTATTTGAGAGGTATGGAGCTCCAGTGTATGTCCTCAACTTGGTGAAATCACGAGAACGAACACCAAGAGAATCAAAACTGTTACATGAGTTTACAAATGCGATCAACTATCTCAATCAATTTCTTCCAAAAGAGAAAAAAATCATCCACAAAGCATGGGATATGAGTCGTGCTTCGAAAAGTCGAGATCAGGATGTCATTGGCACTCTTGAAAACATCGCTGAGGAGGTTGTCACCACCACTGGCTTTTTTCAAAACGGAGATGGAAGAACGACCATGCCGAGAGTCCAAAATGGAATTGCAAGAACAAATTGTATCGATTGCCTCGACAGAACAAATGCCGCTCAATTTGTTATCGGCAAACGAGCACTTGGCCACCAACTTCATGCACTGGGAATAATTGGCGACACTTCAATCGCCTACGATACCGACGCCGTCAATCTCTTCACACACATGTACCATGATCACGGCGACACGATTGCCGTCCAATACGGCGGTTCTCAACTCGTCAACACAATGGAAACATACCGCAAGATCAACCAATGGACCTCCCACTCCCGCGACATGGTCGAGTCCTTCAAGCGCTACTACAACAACTCCTTCCTCGACGGCCAACGCCAAGAAGCCTACAATCTCTTCCTCGGAAACTACATCTTCACGCAAGGCCAGCCCATGCTCTGGGACCTGGCAACAGACTACTACCTCCACCACGCCGACCCGCGCGCCTGGTCCAACAAAGTCCGACGCAGCTATATAAATTGGTACACTCCTTCCTTCCTCGAGAAACGTGTGCTGCCCAAATACGTCGACCCCCTCGGCGTAACAGCCAACAAACCACTCGGGTACTTCGACGATTACTGGCTTGAATACTACAAACCTCTCGCTGTCTCCTCCCTTCTCAAGATCTTCTCATACATGGGCAAAATGAACTCAACGCTGAGATACATCCCCTTCCGCTCCACGCAAGAAGGCCGCTACGACCTCTCCCCCTTCAAAGTCCGCACCGAAGCCGACCAGGACGTGCCCGATAAGAAGAAAGCCAAGAAAGGCGTAACGATTGTGGATCCCTCTGAAGAACAGCAACTTGCCGAAGCAGGCGAAGACGACTCGCTTTCCATCAAGTCTGGTACCGCGGTCACCACGAAACGTATAAGTATTCAAAGATGGTTGCAGCCTATTCAGGAGAAGGAGAAAGCAGAGCAGGGGCAGGTGCATGGCATTATGAAAGGAAGTGGAGTGGGAGGCGAGGAGAAGAAGCAGAAGGAGAAGTTGACGCCATTGGATAAGAGTAAGGCTGCGCAGTGGACGTTTACGCAGGTTGTTAATGAAAGCTTGAATCCGTCTGTGAGTGTTCAGGAGCAGGATGATTATTCGCGTTATGTGAGCCACCCACTCACTTTGCCTTTGGTTGTATCAACTGAACTACCAACGGAAATCAATAACGAATATCTGGAGTATGTTAATGGGAGTTGGAAAGATATTGGGATCGTCACTGGTATGGATTTAGATGCAGGCTTGGGAGGGGATGCGAAGGGTGGGGTGGGGGTAGGAGGGGGGATAGGAATCAAGGAAGAGGATCTAGCCGAGTACAGGGATTTCCTCACCGTGGCCGAGAATCCATTGACGGTTATGGAAGAGGATGGTGTGAAGAAGCGGTATAAAGCGTATAGGAAGTGGTTGTTGGGCAAGAGTCTGTTTAAGCAGCAGCCTATTGACTGAACTCTTCTCTCTCCATTGGATGGAGTTTAGATGGCATGATACCACGAATTATGAAAGAGGTTTACGACATGAGATCTATTGTTTACTGCGCGTGGCACCAGTGATGCCGAAAACGTCTTCCACTAACTCTTGATCAACGGCAAGCAGAGGAGCAAGTGTGGTCTGCATATCGACCTCCCCTTCAACAGCCTTTACCAGTAATCGTCCTGCCACCGCAATCTGTTTCCTCACATTGCCCAGAGTATTCCCGTCTACCTCTCCACAGTCTTCACACTGCTTTCCTTCCTCCGCCTTATCGCCCTCTTCCTGTATTGCCTGAGAAACACCCTTCCAGCACACGACGAGAGATCGAACGATCTCATTCCTATGGCCCTCTTCTTGCATCCTCGGCCAGCAGTTCAAGATAACAACTTGGAGCGTGTTGACAGTTTGTGAAAGGAGATGCTCGTGTGAGGTGGCTAGAAATCTCAATCAGCGTTCCATGTTTGATGGGTAAAGTTGGAACTGAAGAGTGGCTTCAGGGTGGATTTTATCCTTCTCGGGGAAAGGATGGCATGGGTGAAGAGGAAGAGACACACCGAATGGATCGCAGAGAGCGGTGCAAAGGATGGGGAGGATGTCTTTGAGATGCTTGACGGAGCGAATACCCATTCTGGCAACTATATTACCCATTTCTTCGATGAGGTAGGAGACGATATCAGGGTATGATGAGGCATAGGAACAGCCAGCGAAGATGCCCTGTCTCATAAGTTTGTCAAAGAATTTCAGGCGCTCTTTCTTCGTCCTCTCTTTCTCATCTTGCTCTTTCTCTTTCTCGTTCGAGTTTGAGATAGGAATGAAGGCCGAAGAGACATGAAGCGGAGAAGGAGAGTGTGGGGGAGTCTGTGGGGCTGGATACCGCGCATCACACAAAGCATACAAAGCTCCATAAGCAGCAGGCAATATTTCGAGACTCTCGCCCAGAGGCGTGAGACTTGGGAGCCAACTTAAAGACGGCATGATCGCTTCTTCAAATACAGAGTCCAGGCCAGACTGGATGAGGATTTTGTGAGGAAGTTTGGGGAGGAATAAGGAGGTAATGGCGAGGCCCCGAGAGCGGATGTGGGTCGAATTGTCGTCAAGGAGGGTGAGTAAGGGTGGTACCAGGAGGGACCAGTGTTGTTTTATGATCTCCTCCTGTCATTCATTGCAGCTTCAGTAAGACGTTTGGTAGGGCACTAGGAAGGATGGGAAGGGTGGGGGACATACGGAAGCATTCTCGACGCAAAATTCGAGAAGAGCAAGAGAATACGGAGCCTCATATTTCCATGGCTTGCTTGTCTGTTCAGTGGTGAAATCGTGGTGTTTCGGTGGTAGGGAGCTGGGCATCGCTTTCCTGCCACTTGAAGTCACGGTGCTGGGACGGGATTTCGAGAATAAGGGACGGATGACGGATTGCAGGAGGTAGGTGACGAGGAAGGAGGCGGAGCGCGTTTGTGAGGTGTGCTGGGAGAGGAAGCTGTGTGCTTGAGTTCGTGCGAGGGTGGTGGTCCAAGGGTCTGAGCTGCTTGTGAAGGCGAGGACTGAGAGGAGGATGCCATTGTCTATTGTTGAGGACGGGGTTTGGGAGTCGGGCGAGGGGTTGACTGTGTACAAGAGGTTGAGAGAGCGCAGGCCCAGAGTGCCGATTTGTTTGGCGAGGAAGCCGGAGTGTATTCTTTGCTCCGAGGAGAGGGCTGGGCTGTCTTAGCTTTGCTTGGCTTGAGTGAGAAGGCGCATGAGAAAGGGCGAACTCAGGTCTCCATCTTTATTGAGGACAAACGTTCCATCTGGGAGGATGGCTTTTGAGATCCAAAAGGAGAGGTTGCTAATGGATGCTGCGTCTGACGATGACCTGGTGAGTCGGCTCAACGAGCTTAGGCTGGATGTGAGGATGAGGACGTTTGCCAGCTTGTCCTAGACCGGAATGTCAGCATTTGTTTGTTTGACAGTATATTCTCAAAAAAAATTAGAGCTCGCCTCTTTACTCCACTTTTCATTGTCAAAGGCTAACCTTTCGTACAACTGCAAGAGGGAATATTTTTCAGGCAAGCCTAGGCACGTGAGCAGTTCCCTGTCAGACGGAGAATGAGTTTACATTGCGATGGGAGGTTCAAGTTGTCTTCAGCATTGATAGGAAGACTCGATATGAGATCCTTGGCCGCTTTTCGCGCTGCTGCAAACATTCTTGCGATGCACCGATGGATGGATGGATGGATGGATGGATGGATGAAAAAGAGATGATTTTTTGAGGCTCGGCAAATTTATCGACATTCGCCTTGTTTGTGGGCTGCACCCCCCCAGCCCCCCTATTCACAAACACGCGCAGCCCGATGGTCACCATTTCTGGCTTCGACTTGAGATCACCAATTGGGGAAGAGATGTCATGGCAGGATAGTAATGGAAGTTTCATGATTTATTGCCATACACAAATTAAAAAGGCTGAGGGTGGATGTCATCTATTCGTTCCATTCGTGCCATGAAGCCTATGGCTAATTCTTATTAGGTATCTTCAACTCTTCACTTCGTTTCTTCACTTGCTCGATAGCACCCGCTGCATCCTCCACACCAGGATTCCGAAGCTGCCACTCCATGCAAACATCTAACGCAGGCTTCATCCACGGACCAGGCTTCACTCCACCAAGAGCTTGTGACAACTCAGTCCCAGAAAGGATGAGTTTCAGAGCTGGCGCATCCATCAAATCCATGGCCTCCAAATGATCTATGAAGCCTTGCCACTCGCTGAAGAGCTCCTTGTAATATTCTCGAAGAAACTTGGAGGGACATTTTGAATTCATGGCTTCGACGAGAAGAGCAAACAGCACTTGAAGTCTCCAATGTCCACCCTGAGAGTCCCATCTCCGGATTGTCATACCCACCGTATCTCGTTCGCTGATGTGTGGTTTATTTGCTTTAATGGCATATTTTAAATCAGTGATCTCTTGAAAATGTTTGAAAGCGCCGCTGACAACGTTGCAGATCTTGTTATCCGCCTTGATTCCTTCCCTAGCCACCATAGCGCCGAGAGGTAAGTGCGGTTTGCCCTTCTGCTTGATGGGAAGCGTTTGGGGAACGGACGAAAAGGGGACCAGAGCGACTAGTATCCATGCCAAATACTTTGCGTCTTCTGATCGTACCAAAGATTGATAAATACATCCAGGCGTTGCGTTGGACCTCAGGTTTTCGAGGCAGTCATAAGCAAGGTTCCAATTTGCGGTTTCGGGCGAAGGACATTCTTGAATGGTAGGATCCGTGAAGATGGTTGAGTAGAGGCCAAGTCTATCAATGAACTGGAGAGACCTTCGAGGATTTTTGCCTAAATCAATCAGCCTATGGTCACATTAAATTCGGGGTTCACCAACCTTTCAACATCTTTTCCAATTCAACTCCCACTCTTTCTCTGCTGATCTTCAACTTAAGAGCTTTCATAACTGCCGGGTCACTCATACAAGTTTCAGACTTGGTATCAATCGTGAAGCTAAGCCGGCTCGCAAACCTGATCAACCTCAGCACGCGCAAAGGGTCGTCCATGAAGGTCGTCTTTGGGTCGAGAGGAGTTTTGATATGCTTGGCCTTCAGATCTTTTAAACCGCCAGTGAAATCTTCAACCTGGTCACGGTGAAGATTGTAGAATAGAGCATTGATAGTAGCATCCCGCCTCAATGCATCTTCCTCCGCAGTGCCAAACTCCATTTGCGGGTTCCGGCTATCCTCTGAATACGTCTCCTTCCTCAGGTTGACAAAGTCAACGTCGAAGCCGAAGATCCTGGTAGTGGCTGTCTCCAGATGCTTTGATTTTTCCGGATTTGCAAGAATCTTGTGAAGATTGTGGATATCGGTAGCTTGCAAAGAATGCTTCTTCAGATTATCGTCATCCTTGAGATATTCTTGCATCTTGGTGCTGAAAGCGTAGCCAGTCATGGCGTTGATTGCGGTGTCAATATCATGGCTCTCGATATTCAGGAGCTTGTCTCGAACCCACCCTCCGGCGAATCGTAGCTCGAGCTTCTCTTTGATCTCCTTTGACTCGTCTATGTAGCGTGCAACGTCCAGCAACAGCCGCCGCAGCTGGCTCTCACGTGGCGTGAGCCAGATGGGAGTGGTAGCCATCTTTCTTGATCTCTTCAACTGCACTGGCTCCTCAGATACAGAGCGCATTCGTTTCATGGGGTGACATGAAGTAAATGCTCGAAGGGTGGTGACTCCCGCAATGACTCGACGGATTCTGAATAGGGACAGGGCGAAGGCTGTGTTGGCGAGTAGCGTCATGAGCTCAGGAGGATCCTGGGGAGCACGCGATTCAACGGCTGGCTAAATTCCAGTTTCATTTGTAGTGGATCCAGAAGCCTTGAATGTTGTGGAAGGTCAAGAACAAAGGAGAGTAAACAAAAAGATGGCATTTAAATTTCGGGTCACGTGGTGATAATCGGCGAGCAAGCTCCCGCCCAGGTTGTCTCGAAATATATTCTTTGCGCCACGCACCCCCGGCCATGAACACTAAAGGGAACGGCTCTAGAAACATTGCTTAATAACACATGTTGGCTTAAAGCACATGCTGAGAATCGCCGATCCGAAAAGCGTCCAGTGTCCCAGATCCAGTGGGCTCTACCAGGCCAGATCTTGACTCCACCCACCGACCTGCATTCTCCCAAGCAGACCTGATTGCAACAACTCGCATGTTGCCGCGCAGGTTTCCGGCCACTGAGCTACACAACACCTCTCTATCCCCGCGGAAGATCAATCGTTGATCTTCATGACACCTCTCAGCCATGCGTCCGCCTTCGAGCCTGCCGACCCCCCGGGCTCCTCTTCATTGAGGCTGCCAAAGCTCCGAGGTTCCCTCGACACACAATCGATGGCATCCTCAATATCTACGCTTCCGTATCGAAATTCCAATGCCTCTGTCTCGTCCCTGTTCGCATCGACCTCTACGCCCACGGGCTCTAGGTCCGTTTCACCAAGCGGAACCGGCACCCCTTCAAAAATGATCTCGGGCTCGGTATTTGGGGGATTCTCTGGAGATAGGCATCAGCTTTCTCCAGCTGACAAGCCGGACGATCCCCGAAGCTTGATAATGCAGGCGTTCGTTCCACACATCGCTGTCCATACCTCGGCCGATACGAAAGAGCTTGTGAAGAATAAGGGGTTTAATGGGGGACTGTGGGAGCTACTGCGGCCGTTTGGGGAACGAATACAAGGAAAAGTTACCGTGCGGGATAGTATAGGTGCCGGAAAGACATGGGAGGATTTCGCTGTGCGATTTGTGGAGCTTGGGGACGGTCTCGAGATCCCAGAAGCCGTGTCTAGCTCGCGGAAGAGTGCGGAAGGACGAATATTGGCAGCAAATGGCACCAAACCACCAGCAGATTCTGTCCTGGCACAGCGGATGAGGACTGGCGGAGACATTGGCCCCATTGAGACCCTCGTGGATCGACATTTAAGCCACGCAGAGCAATTTCCAAGCATGAGCTCGGAGGAGTTCTTGAACTTCAAAGACACACAGCTCAGGAGCCCTGATATACCTTCCCCGTTCTACACTCTATACATGCGAAGGCTACTGTCTGGATTACCTTTGGCTCCGCATGAAACCTTTTCTCACCCTGTGGCATGTGTGATTGCCATCAGCTCGCGGAATGCCAACCCAATCGAAACGTTACGGAACCTGTACGACGAATCCAGCCATGGGGCAAAACGGCTACCTTTATGGGTGAACAATGAGTATCTCCGGTACTATGTTCTTGTTCACGACGAAGAGCGAGACGATATCACCAAATCCATGACTCTGTTTGAGCAAATGAAGCGACATTTTGGACTTCACTGCCATCTGCTAAGGCTACGAAGCAGCGAGTGTGTTGCAACAGATGATGATAGCATTCGATTACCACGTTGTGAATGGCTGGCTGCTCCAGAAGAGCTCGCCGAGATCCAGACCCGAGAACTGCTGGAAGATATAGAGGATTCATATCCCTGCATCTACGAATCCGATACTACGGCCATCAAAACCTTCATCCGCGAAATGGTTACCCAGTCCATCGTCCCTTCGATGGAAAGATGTGTTGCAACTTGGAACGACCAGGTAGCATCGCGGCGGCGAGGCATAAGTGGACGACTCATAAGTATGTCAAAGAAATGGGCGTTCGGATCCAGTTCGCGGTCATCATCCAATGGGCCGACGTCTTCGAACAGCAATTATGATGCATTACAAGCATTCTATCGACCGGATGCCCCTGAGGCGGTGATGCGAAAGTTAGCAGACTACGCTTTCATGCTACGGGATTGGAAACTGGCATATTCGACTTACGATCTCCTTCGAACGGATTTCAACAACGACAAGGCCTGGAAATATCATGCTGCCGCAAATGAGATGGCCGCAGTGAGCCAGCTGATGATGCCACAAGCAATCAGTTCAAGAGTACGGTCGGAGACGATTGATCAGATGTTAGAGACTGCCTCGTACTCATATATCACTCGCTGCGGGGCCACCTACGGAGCGTTGCGTTCTCTGGCACTAGGAATGGAGCTCCTCAGACTCCGCGGCGGATCAGCAACAGAAGACGCCGCAAGATGGGGGACAAGGCTGTTAGAATACAAAGTCGTCGGCGTAGTCGGCGACCCTCTCTTCAAAGAACGAGTCTCCGCGTGCTATGCCTCCAAGAAAGGCGCAGGGACCGAGCTCTGGGGGTCAAGAACAAGGAAATCCGCATTATGGAGTATCCTAGCTGCTGATGCGTGGCTGACTCTCGGGAAGATCCAGCAATCGAAACAGCGTGTTGAGGAAGCGAATGGGAAATACTCGATACTGACGCATCAGGACAGCCTCTCGCATTTTGCGCATGCGAACGACTTTCTTGAAGCACTGCAAAGGGAAGTCCAGCTTGCCCTGTATCCAGAATCAGGCATCGAAGGGCCAGGACAAGTTGAAGATTTAATCGATACGTCGATAGGAGAAGAGAGCGAGGCCTTTGTGTCCCGCCCCCATCGAAGGAGTCTAATGGGTCAGGTTGCACCGCTTGCAAATCTCGAGTCAGCACCACTCCATGGGACGTTATTGGAAGGCGAAGATGAGGCGCCGAGGATGGATCAGTTTGAGTGAGTGAGGTGGACTTCTATGAATATAATACCATTTTTTGAATTTGGGTTTGAGCGGACAGCTACAGGAGGGAAGCATTGGGTGGCGTTGGGTGTTTAGATGGCTGGGACCCATGTATACATAGGCGTGCATCCTGTGACCAGGGTCTTTCATCTGAATGCAATAGAGATGCGAAATGCAAATCAGAATTCATAACCCCCCCTGAATTCACCACCTGATTTCTTTTGCATAACTTTGTGTTGTGAAGATTTAGAACGCGTCCTGATAACCGCGATAAGAAAACATCATCGTCACCTGAATCTAAAACAAAACAACAACATCACAACCACCCTCTCCCATCCCACTCAACTTATGCCGTGAATATTCCCCTCAAAATGAGCGAGCTTCTCACTTACCTACAAAGCAATGAGCCTCAATTCCGGAAGTTCGTTCCCCTCCTTCCATTCTTTCCCCTCTTCCCTTGAACTTTCCTGCCCCGCTCCTGCTTCCTGGCACTTACTTTACTTCTGCATTTTTGAGTAGAGTACTGATAGAAAGGAAATAGAAACCGCCTAGCATCCCTCTACTCTGACTTCTCCGCCCTCTCATCCACGAATCCCGACGGCTACACCGCGAACCTGCACGCCTGGCGCACCGCCTTATCCCACGCTGCGCTTGCGGGCGTTATTCCCTCCTCTTCCACCTCCACCCAAAACTCCTCCCATATACCGAGTCGACTCTCCTTCTCAATAGACACCAACTTAGCAAAGGAGTTAGAGAGCAAGGAATGGGGGAGACCGCTTGGCTTGGGGTCTGTGGTCAACGATGCGTTGGGGAAGAGGGAGTGGATACCCTGTAAAGACTTTCTGGAGAGTAATGAGAGCATATATTACAAGCGCTGGGTCAGGATCCCGGGTGTAGGGGAGGTCTTGCAGTGGGGGTTACGGCAGCTGGGTCTTAACTTCGGTTCAGGGGGGATGATGTCCGGTCGTGTCGTTGTGTTAGAGAATTTAGAGACGGCGGCGAAGGAGGTTATGAAGGGATACGAAGCGCGATCCAAAGGGAGAGTTGAGCGGATATACTCACGATCTGCATGGAAAGCGGCATTTGGGACGGTATTAGGGGGGGGAGAAATGGCGAACAGCGATGTGGAAATTCTGTTGAGGTTTCTGGGTAGGGATAAAGGCGTTTTGGTTTACAACTCGAGTACGGTGAAGTTCTTGGTACAGAATGAGACACAGGGGATCAGTCAGGAGGATGAAACGATCGCCTCCTTAAAATCTCTGATCCAGGATCTTGAGGCTCAAGTGAAAGGATTGGAGGCGAAGGTCGAGCAGCTGGGGGACACTGCGAAAGAGGCGGTTGGGAGAAAGAATAGATTGGGGGCACTGAGTGCGTTGAGGAGTAAGAAACTTGCAGAGAGTACTCTTGGGAAGAGACAGGCAACCTTAGCGCAGCTTGAGGAGGTGTTTATGAATATTGAGCAAGCGGCTGATCAGGTTGAGCTTGTAAGGGTTATGGAGGCGAGTTCGAGGGCACTAGGGAGCCTAAATAAAGAGGTTGGGGGCGTGGAGAGGGTGGAGGGTGTTGTAGATAGACTGAGGGAGGAGATGGAGAGGACGGATGAGGTGGGGCAGGTTATTGGAGAATTTGGGAAGGAGGGGGTGGATGAGGGTGAGGTAGATAATGAGTTGGAAGTTATGGAGAGGGAGGAGAGGGAACGAAGGGAGGAATTGGAGAGGAAGGAGAGAGAGGCAATGGAGAAGAGGGTAGCGGAGGAGACGAGGAGGAGGTTGGATGCTTTAGAGGCAGTGGAGAGTGAGGCGAGGGAAAAGGAGAATGCTAGGAAACAGGCGGAGGTGAGCACGGACAAGGAGATTGAGGACAGCACAATGGGGATGAAGCGGATGTCGTTGGACCCTCCCGATGCTGAGATGGCATAGGTTCTCCTTTTTGTTCATTTTGGAAGTCACCGAGACTACGGATATACGCATGGCTCCGGAGTTCAGGTAATTATCGCATTGCCTCTAGTAGGCTATGGTTATATGGGTCTAATTGTCGTCATATCTGAAGCAATTCCCGAATATTGTGAGGATGGTGGTAGTTCTGAGCAATCCTCGGCGCTTTCCTCAAAGAATTTCCGCTGCAAGCTCTGTTTAGTGGGAGATTCTTCAACCCTACTTTGCTGTGGTGGTGGATCTGCGTCAATTGTCATGTCTGTGTCTCCAGGGGTTTCGAATGGCTCTTCAGGACCTTCGACCAGTGCTTCGGTAGGTGCCGGCTTCATAGGACACGGGCTACCAGTCAGATCCACCATATCTGACCCGGATTCTGTAGGCGTAGTCGGCTTGACGGCGGCCTTTTTGCGAGCATTTGCAATAAGCTGTCGAAACGTATCTCCATGCATAGCAGACCAAGCCTGCCCGTCAAAGTCCTTCTCTCGTATTTGAGCTCCGGAATCTTGTTTTGAAATTCCTACTCTACTCCCTTGAGTACGCTCCCATATATCCAATTCTCTCTTTAGCTCACCCTTACCCTTCGGTTTTGTGGCGTCACAGTTGGCGTTCCATAGCGTCACCCACTCCGTGTATCTCTTCTCTAGTTGCTGTCTCGGTCCTCCAGTCGATAGGCCGAGATCTGCTAGCTTCTTTCGGAGAATGTTGTCTTTCACCATCGAATAATGTAACTGAGGTAGTCTTTCGGGTCTTGGAATTGGCTTGTCTGGAGCATCAAAACTTGTCGCTTTACTCCGAGGTTTGGTTGGAGATTCGTCTTCACAGTTGCGGTCCAGATGAGTGTTGATCTTGTCCTCTTTCACAAACTTCTGGCAGACAGGGCATTGAACGAAGCCATCTTCTGCGAGCAAGTCAGACGGAGAACTCCATAAACTGGAATTTCTTACCAGGCACATAGTCATCATCATCCTCTGCCGAGTCTACAACCATTGTTCTCTCTTTAGGCTTATTCCTCCCACTCGATCTCGTCCTTCTTAACTTCCGTGGACTCTCATCCTCGCCTTCCTCCATCTCTCGGCTTCTCTTCGGCGATGGTGCTCTCACTACCTCCACAGGTTTATTCGCAAACTCCCAAACCTCAGGTCTTGCCCTCTTGAACGCCTCCACCAAATTTTCCATCGCGCCATTAAATCTCAACTTTAGCTCTTGATCCTGTGCCCTGCATGCCGGGCACCGCCCATCGTTGTTAAGACACCGTCGTATGCAAAGTGAACAGAAGGTGTGCGCGCAAGAGGTGATCATAGGTGTGGTATAGAAATCCTTGCAGACTTGACATCGCAAGGCTGAGTCGACGGAGGAGAGGAGAGGAAGTGGGGTTTTTAGCCAGTCTGTGGAGTCTGAGATGTCAAATGCCTCATCTTTAGTAGGTTTGTTCATCGTGAGTGTAGTTGTCGTGGTGGTGGTGCGAGCCACGGTCGCATAGAGTTGATGATGTTATGATTGAAAGGTGGAAAGGCGGAAAGTCGCGTAAAGTGGATTTCGCGTTCGAGAAAGTCGGCCTCGCGTCACCCGAATGTTCGTCCGAAAGACAACTTTTGTGAAGCCAGCACAATGGCAGACTACAAGACGTATTTAGCGTCATGTATCCTAACGGAGGATAAAGTGGTGTGTTTCTACCTAGAAATGGACTCTTTGAAGTTCTAACAGAGCTGCTAGATCACCTATCGCCTTCTCAGTCGCGCATTGAAGGTGCATGTCAATGCTGCAAAGGAGTAAGTTCCAGCTCTGCCTTTGTGTAGATTCCTGCTAATTCAGGCAAGGATGCTCTACGACTTCCATCAGAAACAGAATGCGAAGAAACCGGGAACAATTCATGCGACATACCTTCTCAGTGGAACCAAGCGACCAGAAGACACAATACCTCTGAATGGCGATGCAAAGAAGGATGGCGAGGACGATTATATGCAGAGCAGTCCATTTATGAATAGTTCGATGCCACAGCTAGAAGGTACAGGAGAAAATTCGGTGCTGAGCATCACATTGGTTAGAGAAGAGGATTTGGAAGGTGAGAACATTCTCCTCAACTAAGCGTTATACTAAAGGGCTCTACAGATGTACGTGCTCAATATGAGCACATCTCTTCGATACATATCTACAGTCTCGAGCCACATCCGTTGAAGGTAAATCTCCCATTATAGTGCATCAGCTAAGCTAACGGTCCCAGGACCTCCAAGTCCTCTCAGACGCAACCCGCGAGCTCCAACTCCTAATCGCAAACGAAGACCCCCTCGAAATAGCCTCAAAATACGGCATCATAAGCAACAAAAACGTCAAGCGCCGCGCTGTCCGTCAACTACCAACTGCAGCCGCAGCTCCCGTCCCCGCAGCATCAGCATCCAAAGTTCCTGTACCCACACCAGCAGCAAAGCCCAAACCCGAGTCTAAAGCACAACCCTCAACCGCAAAAGAATTCTTCGGCAAAGGAAAAGAGAAGACCAAGACCACTACCACTACCACTACCACAGCGACTGGTAATCCCTCAAGCAAAGAGTCAACACCTGCTCCGGGCCCCGCTACACTTAAGAAAGAATCCTCTAGCATCTTCAAATCATTCGCTAAGGCGAAACCGAAGTTGAAGAGAGAAGGGACGGACAGCTCTGTAGTCGAAGATAGTCCCATGAGAGATGTAGATGATGAAGACGAAGAGGAGACTTACGTCCCGCCGCCGCAGCCGAGTAAGGAAATTGTGGATAGTGATCGGAAGGCAAGGAAAGAGAGAGAGGAGAAGTTGAGACGGATGATGGAGGAGGATGACGATGACGAGGTGGAGGTTAGGGAGGAGCCGAAGGTAAAAGAGATAGACGTTGAGAAGGAGAAGTCTGTCGAGCTAGAGAAGGAGGAGAAGAGTGTTGTTACTGGTGGGCGGAGGAGGGGACGCAGGAGAATCATGAAAAAGAAGACTGTTAAAGATGCAGAGGGATATTTGGGTAGGTTTCCGTTTTCATTTTACAAAAGTTTGGGGTACTGACAACCAACAGTGACGAAAGAAGAGCCAGTCTGGGAATCCTTCTCCGAAGACGAAGCTCCTCCACCACCCAAACCCAAAGTCTCAGCCTCTTCAACTTCTAAAGCGAAGAAATCAACTGCCAAAGCGGGACAAGGGAACATCATGTCTTTCTTTGGGAAGAAGTGATGCTTTTCTTCTCCACTTGCGCTGAACTGGAGCGGAGAGCGATGAAACGTGAAATTTAAGGGAGGGGCCGTGTACGAGGAATGATGCATGGGTGTGATGTATGATTATGAGCGATAATGAGCACAAGACTAGCACGGATAGCGAAGTGAAGAATGGTTTTTAGTCTAGAGGAAAAGAGTGGATCCTATCCCATGTCTTTCGTTGCACGTCGTGTCAATGTTCCAAGAGTTCTAGTACATTAGGAGGAATGTTCGAGGGCTGGAACCTCGAGTGAATCTCAGCTTGTGTTGGTTCTTTTGTTGCAGATCTCATCAATCTTCCAAGACTTCCTGGTACATTGAGGTTGTTTATGAATGTTGAAATCAACTTAAATCGTCAATGTTTCGAAAGTTCCTGATACAGTGGGAATGTGGAGTCCCAACATTCAAGTGAATTTTAAACTTGCTCGAGCTCGTTGCACATATTTCACCTCACAAAACAAACAAAAAGGCGACCTTTCATCCGTTGAGTTGAGAAGAAAACTAGTTTATGCTACATATCGCGAGCTTTTCCTAGAAATTCAGACGAAAGTTGGTTTCATCTGAAGATATGAGAGGAAATTAAATTGTAAGTAGGGGGTTTTATCCGATAATATGGGGTGACAGTGAATATGGAGCGTGAGATACTTTGTTGCACATCAACTCTATGTACAAGGTTGATCCGGTACATTGAGATTCCAGTCAGTGTCTAGTCTTCAGGTGAATTTCGGCACTAAACCCCATTTTTGTTCCAATATTGTCTAGAACAATGGCCTTGTTCATTGTCTTCATTCATCTATTCATTCCTCATCTTATCTACCTATTCAACAACATAAGCATCCGCCCCCTCACCAAAAATCAAATGGGGTTTCCTCTTCGCTATATCAAGGATCGTCTGCGCGAAGACGGAGTTTGCCCATGCAAACCAGCTGCGAGTATAATCATGAATTCGATTCACATTGATCGATTCATGGACAAGTCCTAACGGCGAAGCGGAGAGCACCAATTTAATGCAGTGGCTGATTTCCGTATCATTGTCTGAGGTCATGGCTTGTAGGAGGAGAGACATTGGCCAGGCGTATTCGAAGCCGATGTGAGGACCTATCTCCATTAACTCCTCTCTCTCTCTCAAAGTAAAATGGAAGGGGAAATCATACCACCAATCCCAGTAAACGCCGACCCCTCAAGAAAATACGGATTGCCCTCCTTACTCAACAACATCTTCCTAGTATTCTGATACACCACATTATCCCTCTCCACAAAGCCCATAATCGGGAGGGCTAGTAAACTAGGCACATTCGCATCATCCATTAATATCTGCCCTCCATACCCGTCAACCTCGTACGCAAATACCCTCCCATATTTCTTATGCAACACCACGCCATGCTCCCAGATCCCATCCGTGATCGTCTGTGCCCGTTTATCGAGAAGCTGCGCTCGTGACACTTCTTTCGCTGCTGCTAACATGTCGGCCGTTTTCTTCAGCTCGACGGCCATTTGCGCGTTTGCTGGGATGTAAAATCCTAGTATCGTTGCGTCGTCGCTGGGACGGAACGCAGATCTTATCAAGCCTGTGCCCCAATTCAATGGATTCCCTACCCCGCCTAAAGGCAGCGTTTCCGTTCCCTGTGTCGTCTGTCGAGAAAAGGTGTATGCATTTCGTTCAAATCTCCCGGTCTCGGGATCAAATGTGGATTGTGACTGTTGATCCAAGACTCCGAGGACTGTGTCGAGCGCTTTGTACCACCGCGGGGTAAGGAAGTCGAACGAACCGGTGTGGTTGTAAAACGTATTTGCCAGTGCGAGGAAGTGTGCTAGGGAGTCGAGCTCATACTTACATTCGAAGACGAAGGATGGTTCGTAGGCTGGATGGACAGAGTCCTCTTGTCCATTCTGGGTAGCTGGCAGCTTTGACGCTCGAGGGGGCTGGAAGGCATTGCAGTACGGTGACTCGATCACGTATTCTGCTTGTGTGTTGATCGCCCCGAGAATCAGGTTGAAGATCGCCTCGTCCTTCTTTGCTAGTGGTTGGTATTGAAGCAGCTGGTTTGTGGAGTCGCGGAGCCATTCGGCGTTGATGTCCCCGGTTACCACGAACGATTGGGGACCCTCCCATTTCCCTTCATCCCGTGTGCCACGCTTCAGCTCTGTGTGCTTTGACTTTTCCTTCCCGTCGATGTGCCATCGGACGGTTGTATCGAGCGTGTTTGGGAAGGCGTTCTCGAAGAGGCGTGCCAGGTCCTTGTCTACCATCTTGCTTGTGATATCGTCGATAACCTCCTCCACGAGCGGCGATGTGAACGTTCGACAGCGGATCTCGGGCCGCTGGAATGGCAGCTGCATTTCCCCTTCCGAGAACGGTCGACTGGGAAAAGATTAGATATGGCGCTGGCAGTGGGAATGGGACACGTGCTGCATAAACATGGAGTATCTTTTGTAGTCTGGGCACGCTGCCTTGTACTTCTCTTCAAGGGCTTGCTGCCCTTCCGCCGGTGAGAACATGCCAGCTATGGTGCCCAGCCAGAGAGGCCATGATCGCAGACTGGAGTGATGCATGGCTTCAAGAGACGCGTAGTGGTCACTCTGGGCCAGATAAAGATGGGGTCGCGCTGTTCAAGTCATGGAGAGGTTGCCGTCATCAATTGACGCTGTATCTCGAGCTCCAACAGGTCCACAAGATTCGTAGCTAAGCTTGATATATAGTAGCCCTGATCCAGAGTGGGGATGGTGAGGTTCGATAGCCGGGCCAAGTTTGTTGTTTTGTTTCAAAGCCTTGTGGTGAGGCTGCCAAACCACTAAATGGTGGCTTCCTGATGACAAAGAATCCTCCCCACTTCTTCAGTACCCACTCACAACGTTACTTCCTTTCTCCACACTTCGCTCAAATAATTCCATCTTATGCTTCTCGGAGGAGGGGATCTTTCTCGTTTGCAAGGAAGAGATCTTCCATGATATCCTTGAGCTTGACGAATCCGACAACAGCACGGAGAGCTGCTTTGATACTGGCAAAATGCACTATCTAGCGTTGGGGACCTGGGGTTGATATAGATATGCAATACTGGAGTTTCGAGAACTATACGCGCATGGCATTATCTTATTCCCACAGGTCGTTGACTTTTCCTTCTGATGCGTACTCCGAAATATCAGGAGTTATTCGAAGGGCGGCTCAGAATTTGAGTACGAGCTTTGTCGCCACATTGCCGGTCCATAATATATGCAATGCGCTTCTGTGGTCTCATCACGCCAGCAGCTACTGGGGAGATATAGAGGTGCGCCAACGGGGAGGACCCATAGAATATCGGGATTGGCTACAAGAACCTCGGCATCCACTTGCAGAGCAAGAATGCATTTTTCTCTGATCAACAGGAATTCCCACGACAAGGTGCTTGACGACGCGGCGATGCTTTGGTCTTCTGCGCTCGTCGTTTTCGATTGTATAGCGCCTGGTACGAACAACGCAATTCTGGGACTTACCACCACAGTAGCCAGATTCCGGATTTCTCGGATCATGCAACCTCGTGGTCCGAAACCTGAAAGGACACAGGTGGCTGCTTCTTAATCAAAGTGGCCAAGAAATTTCTAAAGTAACTCATTTTTATGATGATGATTATTATTATTATAATTGCGGTAAATATTTCACTTCACTTGCACTCTACTTCCTCAGCTGGATTGATTAAGGACGATGCAGAGCTTGAGTTTATTTCACTTCAACACTGATCTCCAAACCCGCCAGAATCCGCTTAGAAGTATCCACGGGCCAACCGCCCACCCCAAAAAATTCGATTTTTTAATTATACCTTTATTATAATTACAAATCCTATTATATATTAATACCTTATAGTATTTTCGATATCCTGACAGCTATATATTTATTTCAAACTAGTAATACAGCTAGAATCACTCATAAGGTAGTAATTTTATTATTTTTGCCCTGTTATTAAATCCCTCGCTAGAGCGTCGCTAGAGGTAAAACACCAAAATTTTGTGATTTTTTTAAAGTACTAGGAAAGTACTAAAAACTTCCTGAATTACTATACCAAGGTCGCTGGTTACAAACATCTACTCAAAATTTCTTATTTATGCCGTTATTGTAGTAAAAAGGAGTAACCAGTTAGAATTTTTTTACCTTACAGGCAATTCTAGCCGCACTATAAGGTTAAAATGAATCTATAGTTGTCAAGATATCGAGAATATTATAAAGTATTAATACGTAATAGGATTTGTAATCATAATAAAGGTATAATTAAAAATCGAATTTTCTGGGGTGGGTGGTTGGGGGGATATGAGCGGTTAGCCCGTGAATACTTCTAAGATATATTTCTCGATCCATCTTGGATAAAGAGCCTGAACCCCATAGTTTATTAGAAGATGTTATCTGGGCCCTGGCAATCAGAAGGAGGCCAGACGGGGTTGGCGAGCGGCTAAATTTTGTACCAATACCGCGGCAAGCAGGTTTATGGCAGTGCCTCAATTAACGGTAGAGTCGGTCCGATTCAAAAGCAACAAAAAAAACCCCTACTATAATACTAATTAATATAAATTGTATTAATTAAAACTATACTATATACTCTAGAAATTAATTCTATGTTCTCAAAATTATAATACCTTTATTATTAAGGAAGTTATAATACACGTAATTAAGTAAGTAAATATATTTATATTTTATATAATTATTTTTTTATTTTAGTTATTATATAACTACTTCTCTAAATTAATTACTCTTCTATAATTATATTAATATCTCAATACTTATAAACCCAATTAAGTGCCCTTTTTAAAAACTTTTAATAATTACTTTTATAAGCTTTTAGAAATATAAGTAAGCTAATTTAATTCTTAATTTAATTATAATTTTTACTATAACTAAAGAAGTTATAATTCAAGTAATTATTAATAAACGGTATAAAGAATTCTTTAATATAAAGAATAATTCTAATAATTCAAGTATTAAATCAAGTAATAAAGTAAAGCTTAAAGATTTAATATTCTTTTAAATTTAATAAAAGCTTTTTATTAGTAATAATAAAATTATTATTTTAAAAAAGCCTATAATTATATAATGAGATTAAAAACTTATAAAATAAACTAGTAAGTTTCTTATCTTATTTTCATATTATAATATAAGTATATTAAAACTATTTCTAGTTTTTAAATATTTATATAACTTTAAATATTTATATAACTTTAAATATTTATATAACTTTAAATATTTATATAACTTTAAATATTTATATAACTTTAAATATTTATATAATTTTAAATATTTGTATAACTTTAAATATTTGTATAACTTTAAATATTTATATAACTTTAAATATTTATATAACTTTAAATATTTATATAACTTTAAATATTTATATAACTTTAAATATTTATAATTATATTATTTTTTAAATAAAAAAGACTAAAATTCAATTTTATTAAAGAACTAATTAATGTTTCTAGAAATTTATAATTAAGAAAAAGTAAAAGCTTAAAAATAAAAATAATAAAGCTTTAAATATATAAATAACTTATTAGGAAATTCTTAATAATATAAATATGAAGCTAGAATAAATAAAAGATTTATATACTTTTTATATAATTATTAATTTATATTTATTTTAGTAATATATTTAATAACTTTTAAAATTAAAATAATATTAGCTAAAAAGAATTAATATATTACTTTTAATAATTTCTAATAATTATTATTTTTATAATAGAAAAATACTAGCTTAATAAATTAGAGAATTATTTAATTATTATTAATAGTAATATAATATTTCATAAAAGACTAAAAGTAATAAAAAGAAATAATATCTTTTATTTAAATAATAAAAATGTTTTTTAGTCTATTAAACTCAATTAATTAATTAAAAGCTTAAAATAATATTATTAATTAAGAGATTTTATTTCAATTATTATTAATAATAATAAAAAAGCTAATTACTTATAATATAATTTATTTATATCTTTTTAGATTCGACTTTTATTATTATAAAACTAAAAAAGGGCTTTATATAAATAAATATAAATAATCTAATATAAGTTAATATTATTAATAAATATTTTTATTATTAATAAAAAAGCTTTTATTATATATAGTTTAATATAAGAAAAATAAAACTAATATATAATATATAATTTAATTTTTATTTCTAATTAAAATTCAAATATATATAATATATTTTTATAAATTTAATTATAAAAAGAGTCTTTAACTAGTAGATAATTAGTAAAAAATGCCTGGAAAAAATAAAAAGAAGCTAATTTATAATTCTGAATATATAGGCTCTAAAAAGTATATTAAAATATTAAATAATAAAAGTATTTTTATTTCGAATAATTTTAATTTAAATATTTATTAAATAATATATTTAGGTTTAAATAAGAACTCTTAATAAAATATAAAACAATTATTAGTATAAATTACTAGAATATATAATATATTTATATAAAAGTATTTAAATTATATAATTATTCTAATATTTAATTAGTTTTCTATATATGTTTTATATAATAAAAATATATTAAATGTTTTTAATATAAATAAATATTAGTTTACTAGGAATATATAGTATTATTATATAGTTATAGAATACTATTTATATAAGTTAGTAAAGTCATTATTATTTAGAAATAAGAATTATAATATTATAGTATTAATATATAATTCCTAAATCTATTAAGCCTAAAGGAATCTAGTTTACTAGTTAAGTTACTAATAGGATACGAGGTTATATAACTATATCCTGTATTCTATATTTTATTACCTATATTTTATTACTTATATCCTATATCCCATATCCTGTAACTATATATATAACTTCTAAAGAAATAGCTATACTAATAATAAAATATTAAAGGAAATTGAAAAGAATAATATTAAGGCTTATAAAAGAAATATATACTTTTTATTAAAATATATAATTCCGGAATTATAAAATATTATTTAAGTTTTTTAATAATTTAATTTAAATAAATAAAAAAAACTTAAAAATATAAAATAAATTCTTATTAAATAAGGTTATAATATATTTAATTTAAGATTTAAATATTTAAAGAATTCTAAATATATTATATTTCTTAAATACTTTTTTTTTATTAATATAATTATTTTTTTGAGAGTTATATATATAATTATAAAATTCGAAAAACGGAATATATTACGAACCTGTAAAGGAAGCTTACGAATAGAGTACTTGTAAGGGAAATCGTTTATTGAGAATTCTAAGATAAGGAAAGAAGAAGGTTTCTCAAGGAGAGAACCGAGCTTAAGTACAAAGTGCATGCGTATAGCTTAGCGAGCTGGGCTAGTCCCAATTAGGTGCAGAGCACGTGACGAGAACTGTTATAGAATATAAATAATAAAATATAAAATACGAGATATAATTATATAATCTTATATTTTATAAATAACTCGACTAGTAGCTAGTTTCTATTAGGTTTAATAGATTTAGGAATTATATATTAATATTATAATATTATAATTCTTATTTTCAAATATTAACTATTTTACTAATTTAATATAATTAGTATTTCTATATTTCTATAATAATATTATATATATATAAATTAGATAAAAAGAAAAATTAAGCTATATTTATTTAAGATTCGGTTTTTTAAAAATAAAGTTATTATTTTATATTAAAAAGAAAATAATTATTAATTACTTTTATTTATAATTTAATTCTATAAAAAGAAAGAAAAAATTAATTTTATTAAGGCCTAATTAAACTATATTAAAAGAGAGAAATAATAGTTGCTTTTATT